TATCAGTGCCCCACACTTAAAGATCGTCTCCGAGATTGTGGCCTTTCCCTCTGGGGGATTCCAAGCCGTACGGTTTCTGTGCTGGTAGACATTCACGCTAAATGCGTATTGGTCCACTGCCTTTTGAATCTCCTCTCAGGTGATCACTGACAAGGTCTCTGGCACAGGACCCGTTTGGGTAGCTGGCGTCTGCGAGCTCGTGCCTTCGGCTCCCCTAGTTGTTGAAGCGTCCATTGTTCCTAAGGTCTGAAAAGGGGCGACGTAATAAAAAATAATAAAAAGTAATATGTGATAATATATAATAAAAGAAAGAAAAAAGGCTCAGTCCTCGTACAATGTTCCGTACGGTGACATGGAAGGACAATGGGAACCCTAATGCATCCTTCTAAAACCCTAACAAAACCCTCAAAAACCTCTTGGGAGTGAACCCCCAAGGACATGTGCCCTAAACTTCTCACCTTCAAGAGAAACTAAACCCCTCTCCTCACTACTATTTGGGGACACGCACTACGAAAGCCCACCGGACAGCCTACACCTGCCATTACCAAACAAGTCGCACAGAACCGTCAAACGACGGAAGAAAAGCAAGAGAGAAACTCTTATTACCTCTTGACGGCGTGGGAAAATTTTTCTGTCGTAACGAATGGTGCACATCAATGGAAGAAGGCGGGCTGACTATTGCAAGAGCTTCGTTTCTCTTTCTAAGAATGAGAGTTTATGGTAACGAATCTGAAGCAAAATTTGGATTTAATGGCAAAAAGGCGTCGATTGGGTTTCCTAAGCAGGTGATGTTTGGGCGGGACATGATCCTCGCCATTGGTTACGACCACGTGTCGTTAATCTATGAGAAAAGTAAATCCCACACTTTGGAAATGCCAATTGACGCTTCCCTCCATTAGAATAACCAAACGATGGCACAGTTACCCTCCTCCACATTAAATGCGCCCCTATCCACATTTAATGCCCTAAAGGAGAATGTGGTTTCAGCATGGCTCACATTGAATGTGCATGGCTGGCAGTTATTGCATAATGGCAAAATCTGTCAGAATCAATAATATTATATTGGTTAGGTGAACTGTCACGCGCAACGGATAACATCTGAAGAGGTCGTTTGAATTAACACTTTTCACCGCGCATTGGTTTCAAAGCAACACGACTCCTCGCTTTTGATAAGGAGGTGATAAGGCTTTCTCAGGTCGCATGATAGAGTCAAGGCTCAAGACATATTGATACAACACTGATCGCGACCTAAGTCAGGTCGCTGAACCTACCATAAAAAAACTACATCAGATCGCTAAGTATAGTTCTCAAGTATCCATGCAGCTCGATCGGGTCGACCAAGCATCACCTGAGACAACTAACCCAAGTCGCGACATAATCATGAAGTTCTCAAGGCTTAATCCTTAAACCTTAAAAACTGGGGGACTTCTGTTATACCCAAGAACCAGGGCTAGCGTAAGCATGCGTCAGCAAGAACCAATCAGAATTTAGGAAGGTTTTCTGATGCTAGGATGCAGCCACGTCCCGTAAGGACCAGAGGGGTTAGGCCATCGTCAGTGAGGCAAGTGAACGTCAGGCCTATGAGTGGCTGAGAATTGTCCACCTACTGAAGCTGTACGCGATTTAAGGATACCTCATATATAAGCAACCAATAGGAAGCAAGTTAGGAATTGTACCACACCTGCCCGCACGCAGAATCATGATTGCCATCTTGGATCCTCCCACTATAAATAGAGGGCTCTCCTCCATTTTACAGGATTGGCTCATTCAACATTTGAACTCTCCCTCTCTCCCTCTCTCCCTCTGTACCCATTCATTCTCTCTATTGTAATTCAGCTCGCCGAGTGCGACCTGACTGTAACTCGCTATTAATATAATCATAGTGGACGTAGGATTCACCTTAGAGCATCCGAACCACTTTAAAAATTGTTATTTGCTCCATCTCTTTCTTTGCATTTCTATATCACATGTGATTTCTAAGTCCGCTTAGCACTTCACATGTGCGAATAGTTGGTGCCGAAATCAAGTATCAACAGGTTCAATCTTTTAAATCTACGTAGTTGTGGTACATTTTTAGTCTGTAACGTGTAACACCTTATCATTTAGAGTAAACGACTTTTTCCCACCCAAAGTTTGCCTTAATGAACTTCTCACCCAAAAAGTTTCAAAATATCACTTTCCTACCTAAATTTTATATTCTGTTAGTACTCAAAATATACTTCATTTTCTCAGTCGGCGTTTAGAGATTTACCAGAAGCTAAGGTAAGAGAGGTTTTATAGAGTGGAGGCCGATGGATTGAATGGCGATGACCGATTGAATCGTTGGAATCAATCAAAAATCAACTACGAACAGGAAACCTTAGCTTTGCGGTGGTCGACAATCAGAGAGAAATTAGATACTAAAGTGAGAGGGTTTTTGTAGAGAGAATTTTCGTCACTAGAATCGACTTTGGCCGGAAAAATAATATTTTGAATTTTTTTTTTGTGGGAAAAAGTGGTTTAGTCCATCATTTATTCCTGTTTTTTGACCGCCTTCAAAACGTGCAAAAAATTATTAATAACGAAGGGACCGAATAATCTGGAAAAAAAAAATCGGGTCCCAGTTCATTTAGATCACTGAAACGTCGTCAGCCCACAGCAAAGAAGACATGTTAAACAGGTGGCTGACGGCGACAGGCATAGAATAATAATGTGGAAAGCCACGTAGGATGATGAATAATTTCCAGGGCAAGTGGCCAGGTAGTAGGGAAGCAAAACGTAAAATATGCGATGAGTGGTGATGAAAGGTGAGGTCACGTATTTGATTGTTCTCCTGATGACGTGTACGCTTATCATAGCACCGTCCAAGAACGGCTTTGTCACTTGCTTCGCTGTTAATGTTAGAGCATCTCGTAAGAAATGTTTAAAAATTAAAAATTACTAACTTATTACGTGGCATAAAATCCAATATTATTTATAATACTAATTTTTGTTTTTTAAAATATTAAAAATGATTATAAATTTTAAAAAGTAAAACATGAGTTTGACATGTTTGTTGGTATTTTAAAAATGTGAAAATAAAAATAAAAATTACAAAATGTATTATTTACAGGAACAATAAAATTCTATCAAATTACCATTTATTTTGTTTATCTTGAATAGCTTATCTCAAATATGTAAATTTTTGTATCCCTTTTACAATTTGTGATAAAATCATAAAAATACTGATTCTAAACTGAAGTTTTTATTTTATGAGTGAAAAGATAGAAGATAAAAAAAGAAAAGAAAATCAATTTTTTTTTTTTTTATTGGAATTTTTCTATCTCCTTCCTCCTTTTTTTTTTTTTTTTTTTTGTTTAAATTGAAACAAATTCTTATATGTATACTTATTGCAACTTTTATGAGAGAATTAAAATGAAAAACACAAAACGAGTTCATAACAAGGAGAGTATAAAATTCAAAATAATAATAAAAGACAATAAATTAATTGAAGAGCAGGCAATACAATTTATGATTTACCGCACTATATAGATAGAATTAAATATGAGAGTAAACGACTTTTTCCCACCAAAATAATGACTTAATAATATTTTTTCACCCACAAACTTTAAAATACCACTTCACTACCCAAATTTATATTTCGTTTACTATTCCGATATTGTTGCAATCTTATACTACCATCATTCTCTTCCCTAACTCATAAAAATCTCTCAAACTCTACTCTTACCAACATCATCAATTGTTGGTAATTAAGCGATAAGGATTTGCGTAGCCGCCCTTCCAAGTCAAATTTTGATCAATCTCAATCATAAAAAAACCAACCTTACACTACCAAATGACTTATTGACCTCCACTCTTCAAATGCCCCAACAGTTTGAACCGAGTAGAGTTGATAATGGGTCGGGTCGAGATCGGGTACCCCTTGGCCCAGGCCCAAGCTCGACCCCATGACAAAGGCCTAGTCCCAATCCAGGGCCGTCAGGGGAATGACAGGTAAAGCCTAAGCCCGGCTCGACGGGCTTTTTGTAATCTCAGTCCCAGCTCAAGCTCGCCCATTTTTATAATGTGAATTTTTAAATATTAATAAATTTCAATTTTTTTTATATTTTTAATTCTAGAAATAGTTTTTAAATATTAATATTTTTTTAATACTTACCAAATATTAATAAATTTTAATTTTTTTTATATATATGTAAGATAATTATGTAATTAGATATATAGTATAAAGGTAATTTAGTAAAATTAATAATAAAATTGTTGGGTCAGGCCAAGACTGAAGACATACTTATGCTTAACCCGTACCCAAGGGCATACATTAAAATCAGTCTCAGGCCCAAGCCCAAACCCGTTAACACCAGGTAAAGCTTGACCTTTTAGGGATGGGTCAGTCTGGATACCTAAAAATATCGAGTCTATTATCATCTCTAGAACTGAGTTTACTCTGTATTTGTCATTAAAATATTAATTTAAATAATAAAATAATATTTTAAAAATATACTATAGGAAAATATCTTTAAGCTATTATTTGAGAAAAAGTCTTTTAACTCTTTCTCTAAGAGATATCAAACTCGAATTTACCTTTTAAAATGCAATGGTAAATTCATTGTATTTAGGAGGAATTTCGTTTCTTGTCCTCTTTCTTTAAAGTAGCTCTTAGACGTTTTCTATGGATTCCTTCAATTGCCCACATTAATTCACTACTAATCCGGAATTGTTCAAGACCATTAACTATTTTATTTTCCACTTTAGTTTAATTTATAATAAAAAAATCCTAAACATCTGGATAGATATGACAATTGGCAAAGGTCATGTTCATTGGGATGTACCTACGGGTGAATCCATCTAACCACGCGGTGACGCAACGCCACGTCACCCACAGTCCCTCTGACGTACAAGAGTGCGTAACTGCCGTTGACGTTGTAGTCTTCTCCATTTCTATTTATCTTCTCTTACTATAAAATTATTAGTCTTTATACAAACCTCTATCTTCATTCATACATTCCCCCCTGTCTCTCTCTCTCTCTCTCTCTCTCTCTCTCAAAACTCAATCTTTGTCCATGCAAGAAGCAATCCCCTACAGAACATATCTCCACGCCGCCGCGGCCGGCAGCAGCACCTCGCCGGCACGCGGCGGCGGCATCAGGGCAGAACCCGATAATAATGAGAACAGCAGTGTAGAGAAAATGGTGTTGGAGAATGCCGTGGTGGTATTTGGAAGACGTGGGTGTTGCATGAGCCATGTTGTGAAAACGTTGTTGCTAGGGCACGGGGTAAACCCGGCGGTGTTTGAGGTTGAGGAAGCCGATGAAGCTAATGTTGTTGGTGACTTATTGAGAATCAAGGGTCTGAAAGGTGAGATTAATGACGGGTCAATACAATTTCCAGCTGTTTTTGTGGGAGGGAAATTGTTTGGCGGTTTGGATCAGGTAATGGCTACTCATATTTCTGGTGAATTGGTGCCTATTTTGAAAGATGCCGGGGCTTTGTGGCTATGATCTCTATAAATATACTGCAAGACGAAGATGGCATTTTTTAACTTTGTTTTTAATTTTGTCTTTTGTAATCAATATGATGAATTTAATACTTGGATAGATGATGATCATGTAATTCTTGTTTTGATACCATGAAAGTTTGGAGAATTAGAGAAACTTCCTTACCAAAAAAAAATTCTTCCTTGTATAATGACAATATCGATGTTGTTGGGATCACATGTTATACACGTGCTTGTTATCTCATCGACATCACTATTTTAATTCCAACTCTTGGATGCCAAACTAGTTAGGTTTGACGATTTGATAGATACCAGAGAGAAGAGTTGAAGATATGGGTTTAAATCAGTACAGTACAGTCCAACAAGAAAAATCAGGTTATGGCTCTTTGTATAAATGAAAGTGGGTAATCTTGGGGACGATCATCAAGGTGGTATTAAAAATTTGTCTCAATCTGTTGTTAAGCTAAGTAAGGGGGATATGGGTTCCACACGCTTATCTTGAACCCCCAAAAGTCATACTCCACTATTAAATTCACCTCCCTTATCTTCCTAAATAATGCCAGACGTTTAACAAATCTGGGAAACATGTGGCAGCAAATGGGAGGGGTTCAAACATGACCAGATCACCCAGTACAAAATTTTATCACAGTAAGATTATATAATTTCATTCCATCCTTCATGCACAAACTCAAATCAAATAAATCTCGTAAACCTCTTACTTTCATTATAAGAAATCTAATCAATTAGGTTATCCTCTGCTCTCTTTTTTTTTTTTTTTTTTTTACAATTGGGGGTATTCTGACTAGCTTACGCATACCTTAATTAATTCTCCAAGATCTGATCTGATCCGAAAATTCAGATTAGGATAACACCTGATCCAAATCCGATGCAAATTTTGTCTGATCAGATTTTATGTGAATTTGCATAGAAACTATTAAATTGACCCCTAAGATTTTGCATTATTTTTGTTCCCCCTGCCACATCAGCATTTCATTACATTTTGACCCCCAAAGTTGTCATCGTATTTTAGAACAATCCACATAATTTACCACTTTTCACCTAGGACCCCGAAATAACTTTTTAAAACTTGTAGTTATGGACAAAACCGGATCGAATCTGGATATCCGATTTCTTTACAGAGTCAATTTGGTATCCAATCCGGAAATCTAGATCTTCCAAAAATTGATATCAGGATCCGATATGAATTTTTGAATATCCGATTTTTTTGGATCAGATACAAATACGGATACAGATATCAAATGTCGAATTTTTTTGCACACCTCCGCACCCAAGAGTCTTTATCAAACCACTCGATCACCCAAAGGTTGGTTATCTTCCCACTCATTCATTTGCAACGCATATTTATGAATTAGCTAGATATGGAATACCATGGAACATGGATTGGAACTTAAGGCAAGAATCACCACCCATCGTTTTTGACCAAATTAAATGGCTTATCTTTTTAATTAGGTCTCTCTGTCCCTCGTATAATGCATTTATGTGCTGCTTTTTTATTTATTTATTTAAGGTAAATTATCAAAGTGTTGTTGAATTAAACCTAATCCTCTCTTTGTTCATAGCTATTGGATTAACTAAACTAATCTTGAATTGATGGGACGCAAATCGAGGGCACCAACAAGGGCGTTCCTTTAAGTCAACTATTAACTGTCATTAATTATGTATGCAGATGACGATGGAGCAGTTTCAAAAACTCCCTTTAATCATTGACCATTCGATGTTTGATTACGTAACAAATTCTCATCCATTTATTTATATTTTATACGACAAATCAATTAAACATTACCAACCCCATTATCGATATATGTATGGTGGTAGGTTTGACTGAATAAACAGCTCAAATCTTTTATATTTTAATTTTGCTGAAATGCCTATCAATATGATTGCTTGTATGTAGAGATTTTTAATCACAATCCCAAATCATGGTGCCTCTCTTTCTTTTTGGTCGGTATTGGATAATGCCACTGTCTCTTCACCCAATACAAATTTTTTCATTTACAATTCATGCTGGGTCCTTTCCTTTATCATCAATTTATTTATAGTAAAAATTTTTTCATTTAATAAACTTGGTTCTTCCCATTTTGAACGGCTAAGAGAGAAGGCCAGCAAAAAAAAAAAAAAAAAAAATTCTTGTATTTCCTCTCTACTCAATTTTAGTCTCTGGGTTTCTTGGAAAACTGCTAATTCAATTTTCGGCCATCCCTTGGACGGCCCATTTATTGCCAATGCAGGCCCAAAAAGCCTGGCTCAATAAACATGAACAATGTTGCCTGGCGTTTACTTCATGGCATGCATACATAGGAACGGTAATGGGGGTGGGGATGGAGATAGAGATGGGGATGGGGATGGGGATGAAAATATGTGAAGGAATAAAATATAATTACATTGTTCACTTATGACTATAAATAGTGATAGAATAGAATACAATTTGTTTGTTTGGACAAAATTACCCTTGAGTTTCAATTATTATATATGTATATTTTATCGCAAAATGTAATTCTTAAAAGAATTAATTGAACAAAAATAACTCTATAATTTAAAATTATTTTCATAAAATGTTAACGTTAACTATTATAAATAAAACTAATATAAATATTTCATTTTATTTAATAATTAAAATTATTCTTTTCTATTTAATAAAAAAAAAAATTCAAAATGGTTCAACCACTGGTCAGTGTCGTCAAAAGTACGAACTAAGTGTCACCTTCAACGTGTGAAGGATCGGTGACCGTCGATCTAGGCAAGTTCCGATGACCAATCATGTCAGAGGTGACATCACGTGCAACGACATGAAGAAATGGCTACCACTCGTGATGTTACCCAACGACATGACTAACAGTCAGAACTTGCCTTGATTGACGTCTGCTTGTCTCTCATGCATTGAAGGTGACAATTATTTCTTAATTTCGACGATGTTAACAGATCGACGACAATAGGTTGACCTACCAGCGACGGTGGCTATGATGGTGGACGATCACGATGGTGACGGTTCAAGGTTGGGGGGAGAGCAGTAATTTACCTTACCTAAAATATTTTAATATAAATTTAATAATTAAAATATTTAATTATAAAATAAATTGATTTAAGGGCAAAATTGGGAAAGTAATAAAAGCAAGGGTATGGAAGGAATTTTGCACTCATTCCAACCCTTGGAATACCCATTTCTTCGAAATTTGGGAATATGGTTCCCCCAGAAAATTGTAAATTAAACAAGAAAATGACCATTCCCTTAACTATTTTGCAAAGTAAACATGACTTAAGTTCATCAAATATTGAGCCTAAGATTGCTTCAATGGTCAATTTGTTGGACAGTATCAGCATGTGTAAATTGTATAAATAACTTTCTACTTTAAATACTACTATATTAGTAATAGGATAATACTACGTTGACAAACGAATCTCGTAAATTTTCTCTCATAAACATGACGTGGCACCTGAGTTGACATTACCACGTCAACTGGCGACTTTGACTAAAACGAACGGTCGTTCTTTAAAGACGAACGACTTTAACTAAACATGAACGGTTGTTCCGTATGAAGTTCCTTAGGGACGAACAACTGTTCATTCATAGGGAACGACTGTTCCATTTATAAGGAACGGTTGTTCTTTCATAATGAATGGTTTGTTCCATAAGAAGGAATGGTTGTTTTATTCTAAGGAATGATTATTCCATAAAGAATGATTGTTCTATTCATAAAGAACATCTAGTCTTTATGAATGAAAGACTGATCATTCTTTATGAAGGAATGATCGTTCTTTTTTAAGAAATGGTTATTCCTTATGAAGGAATGATCGTTCGTCTCTAAAAAACGATCGTACGTATTTAGTCAAAATAATTAGGTGTGGTGGGAGCTGCCAACTCAACTGCTATGTCGAGTTTATAAGAGAAAGTTTGTAAGATTCGCTTGTTAATCTATCTTTATTCTTAGTAATATCTTACCATTTTATAGGAAGTGAATTTGAGCGATGCATGGATAATTTTTTAACCAAAGGCAAAGTATAGGAGAAAAAAATTAACAAATAAAATTTTTGCAAGTTTGCAATATCCAAATTGTGTTATATTTAATTTGGCTACTTATATTAACACATGCATATTAACTGGCCCCAGTTCCAGATTCTATTGTATGATCCATATACGATAATTTTATTAATTCTTCTATCTATTTCCCTATCCGTATAAGATAATTCAATCAATTTCTTCATTAATTCCTTCGTCATTGTTGCCACCTCGGCTTCAACAATCCATGCATTCCAAATTGACTCAGTGGCGGATCAAGAAATTTTTTTTTAGAGTAAGTTAACATAAAAACTAATTACATATTAATATTTATTTTAGGGTGGACCAAAATCTAAAAATTATATATATTAATATTTAAAAAAAAAAAATTGAGTGTGGGCCATGGGCTGGATCCGCCCCTGCAAATTGTTACCGTGATCCTGCTGCAATTCATGAAGCATTTGTGTATATAGATACAAAATTCATTACGTGATATATACACAAATTAATTATATTATATCTCATATGCAAGTTTATAAGATATAAATCTTTGATTGACAAAATATTTATCCGCATTCATTGGGCATTTATTAAGTTAAAATTTTCATATATACTCATTCATTTGGTATCATTTCAATTTGTATAAAGAAATTATACATTTAGTATTTTTTATAATTGATGGTGACATTGGTCTCTTATATAGCACAAGAACATTCTCACCATCAAAATGTACATTTTCAGGATAAAACCATGCGGGTCGTAGAGCTCAAAGTAGACAATACCTCTGAAAACTCACCTACCATGTTTCTGGATCCGCATACATCAAAGATAATTAATACTGGTTTTTGAGTTTTTATGAGTTGCATGGATAATGACATTCAACTATATAAAACATTAAATAATTAAGGAGTAGACAAGGGCAAAATATAACAGATATAGAATAAATTATAAGCTTGATACATTGTTTAATGGCGCTGTCAAAACAAGTTGAAGGATAAATTAATTTGACATGGGCCACTTTCCTTCGTTTACTCGAATTGAGTTTTAATTTGATCTCTGTATTTGTGACTTTGTGTTAACTTTTTTATTTTTATTTTTTTATCAGCATAGTTCATGATAATAAATACAATAATTTTCTAATAAAGTCGAGTAAGAACTCCAGTAGCCATCCTTATCGAGGAGAAACTCGAACTCGTGACTTTTTGAGTAATACATTTAAAAGTTTGATAGCAACATGATTACCTTCACTAAATATAATGCCATCCCTTAATTAGCAAGTCAACTCTTCAAATGATGTATAGTTAAGATTAAGTACTAAAAGAAGGATCCGGAACAAAATGCAAAACATTTAAGAACAAGGTACATGCGGGCTAAGGGGCCGGGGTTTTGAATCTGAATATCTTATCGAAGGTTGAAGACTAGAACAAGCTTCGACCTAATTTATCAAAAGCTGTCACAAGAGGAAATGTAAACCGTTCTACTGTATTTATGTAAACATTTTCTACAGATATATATTAATTTTCTTGATTACAATTTGTCAGTTTTTAATGTCTCCAACTCCATGTGCCTTCTATTCCAAGAAACATTTATAAACGACACCTACATTGCATTCCAGCTTTGAACACAGTAATAAGGTGGTAGATTCCTAGTTCGGCTGTATTGATTTTGATTGCATAGCCAATTATATGTCCAGGTTTCGGATGAAGATCGATACAGGTTCCTGTCAAAAGAGGTTTATTTGACCATTAAACTTTTATATTCCTGGTCTTGATAAAATGGTCATACTTGGTGAAAGCTACTGCATGTATAAAGCAATATTATTCTTTCTGTGATGTCTACTTGCCCACATGTTTTCCTTTTGTTTTGCTTCGAAATTCTAAATCAGGTTTGAACTTTGAACTGTGAACATATCAAACATTTTCCTCAAGTATCCTTTGCTTTTCAAACTTTTACATTATGTAGTATTTCCATATTGTTTTAATTTGGATTGTAAATCAATAATTATCAATGAAGTGAAAGCTTGCCATGCATCTTCTGTTATATTACTTGCCCTTTTCTAGTTAATTAAACGATTTATTTCAAATGCGCAGGCCAGGGATTCGCATTTATGGCTAGAATTCATTTAGAAGCTACGCAGATAAAATAGAACGAAACAAAGGAATGACAGTTTTGAATAATAAGAAACTATAGTGGTCGGGTGGTTCGATGAAGATTTTTAAATGTATTATTCAAGCGTTTATGAATTCGAGTTTCTCGGATGTTAATAGGGATAATCATTGGAACTCTTACTCAGTCGATAGTTTCAGGATCTCAAAAGATTAGTTGAGATATGCGTAAGCTAGCCTGGACAACCTTAGTCATTTAAAAAAAAAAAAAAAAGTCTTTAATAATATTAGACCCTTATTTACTAAGAAGGGGAGATCTAATCCAATACAAATTAAAGATAACTCTTGGAATAAGTTGAAGTAAAATTTATATATTGGTAAAAAATGAATAATTTTGTATATCAGTTTTCACTAAATAATTTTTCAAATATAAGAGTAATGTTATGTTTACAATTATGTGATATAAACAGATAAAAAATAAAAGATATATTAATTATTTTATATAAATTTTGTATAATTTTTATTTGTTCTTTAAACAAAATATTATTGAAAGCACAATCAGAAAACCGCTGAGCAGCTCATATTATAACCAATCTATTCCAAGAAATTAAAACAGAAAGATTTTGAAAGATTGTTGATGGGGTTCGCAGAGAGAGTTTAAGATATTGAGAATCTACATTGCAGTGATCTATTTTATTAAAAATGACACACGTGTCACTCTGTTGTTTCTTGAGAAGTCTCCATCGCATATTGGAGAATCCAAGGCTAGTTTTCTTATCCAGTTGTTTAAGCGTGTGTAGTCAGACAATTACCATGCAATTTCTCGTCTTGGAATAAACTACAATAGTATGTCGTTTAGGTTGATATAGGTTGTTCCGAATTCTGCCAATTACATGCAACAATCAATGTTATTGAATATTGATAAAGGGTACGACCAATATTCTCCAAACTGTTTGGAAATTCAGGAATTATAACTTGCCGCAATGATATGGTGAAGGTTTCTTCTCGGTTTTCACGTTGGTTTCTCATACAGTTTCCCTCACGTCAATGATGTTTCTCTTAAATTTGTTGGTAATTGGTAACAATGTAATGACTGTGACATTCAGTTACTTCCGAGATTTGTTCATTAATCTGTTAATTGTTTAAAAAGACAAAGTAATGGAACAGTTCGCATGTAATTTCATCTTCTGTGTCAAAAAATTACCTGCAGATTTATATATAGATTATAAAGAATCGAAAACTAAAATTACCACATCTGTTCATGAACATTACTTCTGTGAATTAATTTCTGCAGATATTGATTGACAACAAATCAAAGAGCAGCAAGTCATCGTTGTTACAAGCATAAATCAGTTGCAGAAATATTAATGGAGATTTATTTTGCTTACACTACTATACCACTTGAATAATTATGCCCTGATTCTATTTGAAGGCTCCATATGTAAAAGATAAAACCTTTGTTAAGTCCAAAGCTCTCTTTATCCTTCAGCCGTCACATAAAATATCCCATTCAACCCCTTTTAATCTTGAAATAAACTACATGAAGATAAAGTATAATTTTTTTTTGTTCCTTGAAATTCTACTAAACTCGTGGAATTTTTTTATTTTATAATAATATATTTTTTTTTTTTTTTGCTGATAGAGTTTATGATAAGAGGTTGTCACGTAGCATTATAAAAGTAGTAATTGACTAGCAAAACAAGCAATAAAAAACCATATTAAAAAATATATCAGAAGCTAACAATTGGATAGCGACTACTATATAATGCTAAGATGACTACATAATCATACGTTACGATCTCCTTCCCCATCAAGATATCACGTATCTGTTATAACTCATTATCAGATAATGGAAACGATGAACATGAACACTCCAGTGCTCCCACCAGGTTTCAGATTTCATCCCACAGACCAGGAGCTTATTATCCTTTATCTTAAGAATAAGCTCTCATCTTCTCCAAATCCTGTAGTTTCTATCATAGCAGATGTTGATATCTACAAATTCAATCCATGGGAACTTCCTGGTTTCCCCTTTTTCCCATATTTATATTAATTCTTATACAAATGTACACTTTTCTGTGAGTTCGGCACACAAGAATGTATGCATATGTTTATGTGTATGTGTGTAGAGAGAAATCCAATAGGTGAATTTATCGTTTCATTTGTAATTGTTCTTTTTTTGTTAATGGTTGTTCTGTATACTGCATAATTGTGCAGGCAAGGCCTGGTTCGGGGAGAGTGAGTGGTTTTTCTTCAGCCCAAGAGACCGAAAGTATCGAAATGGAGCACGTCCGAACAGAGCGGCTGCTTCCGGTTACTGGAAAGCCTCCGGAACTGATAAGCCAATCATATCGTCTAGTGGGGCAAAGTGTCTTGGAGTAAAAAAGGCTCTTGCATTTTACCAAGGCCGGCCACCAAAAGGCGAAAAAACCAATTGGACGATGCTTGAGTACAGGCTAATTGATGATACCTTTCAGTTACCAAGGCTAAGGGGATCAATGCGAGTAAGTTTGAAATGCCATTGACTTCTTCAGAGAAATTATAAACAAACAAAAATCATAAGATGGTATTAATTATATAAGATGTATAAAAGAACTGGATCATAGTGTGGTGAATACGTATACATCGTTTCTCTGTGAAAGTTGAAAAACTATCTGCATATCATGTGGCTATATATTATTCTGTATAGCTCATTTGGGCACTCGATCTCACAATCATCATCTTTCAGCTACCTTCTTTTCTGAGCCAAAGACATCCAAAAAATATTTGGGGTCCTCTAGGTCCCAACAAAATACCATAACTTGGTTGAGGCACAAACAATTTAATGTTCAAAAGGCCTAATTCAGGTTTCTTTGAAAGGGCTATTGTTCTGTATATTCTACCGTGATGATGGCAAGATAACTTCATTAATATTTTACATGCTTGATATAAATATATTTTAACCTTCTTTGTTAGGCAAATGAATCCATGGAAACCACTGCCCAGATGACATGGAACACTCCCGACTCTTTTCTTTTATGTATCTTTAAAGCGTTTCTGTATGCGTAGCACTGAGAAATTTTGCTTGAATGCAATGACTAAGATTTAATATTTTATCCATCAATAAATAATTTTTGAACTGTTAGGAGTTGATTATCTCTTTCTATTTATATCTTGGTTCAGTTGGATGATTGGGTTCTATGCCGAGTTCGCCAGAAAAGGAAGACTCCTCAACATATAACAGAGGATTACAATATTGTTAATCGCAACATCTCTCCTTTCACTTCTGGGTGCTTACAAGGTCAAGATCAGATCATGAATAAGGAAGATCCTATGGAGGACTCTCTTTATTATCAGTTACAAGCTTATGATCTTCTTCTGCCTCCCCTAGAAATTGAAAGAGCAGGCAAAGTAACTTTCCAAACAGAGTCCCCAGAATACTCAGCATACCTTTCAGACTTCGATTCCAACCCCATTCCCAGTATGGTTTCTTCCGACAAAGAGGTACTTGAATCAATTAAAAGAGTACTCTCTATCGGAGCTCTGGATGAATTAGTGTCATCATTAACACCAAATTCATCTTCTACTACTGACGAGAACAAGGACACCAGTTTTCAAGTGTCTTCTCCAATTACTTCAGCATCAGATCCACTATGCTTCACAGAGTTCATAATCTAAGCCGACTCCTCCATGTAATAATGCATCTATCTATGTCTATGAATAATAAAACATCTCCAACCACTGTATAAACATAAAAGTACATCCTTCTTTAACTATTATGTATAAAGAAAAAAGTTCCAAAGTTTCAGAGCTGATTTGTACTTTTTACAAAGAAGATGACAGCTTGTACGAAGGGACCCAAACAATGAAAATTCGCATATCATCATTACAATCATAAATATGAGGATCATGTGATGTTAAATAATTGGCAAATGACTACTTAAATTAGTACCACCAACTTTCCAACTAATACACCTCACAATTTGGTTTTGTTTCACAATAATAATAATTAAAAAAAAAAATTAGTACTATCAATCATTGAGACTGCAGTGAAATTGTCAGTGTTTACACTGTACTAATCAAACAACATCTTGTATTTCTTTTACTTCACAGAATCCGAAACAGCTCAATCCACCTTTCTCATTTAGTTGTCTCCAATTCTTTTCCTTTCCCATGTAATGCCTTAAATAAAGTCTATTAAAGTTGACTAATCTCTATCCACTTTGACAATAAACAACTTATATAAGCATTTTGCAGAAAAAATTATTTAACATCTGTGATTTTTCTCATTGGCATATCACACCCAAATCTCAGATATCTTTCTTCTTAAATTGAATATTTGAGATGACTAATTCCGGAAACATCTCTAAATTAATAATAATAGAGGTTAACTACCTCTAGGTGATCGAGTGGTTTGATAGGGACTCTTGAGTGTATTACTCAAGAGGTCTTAAGCTCGAGTCTCTCTTTTGTTGTTAATAAGGAGTTCAACTCACTCCTTAGTTACTAATAGTGACAGTCATCAGAGCTCTTACCTGATCAATAGTTCTAAGGTCTCGGAGGATTAATTAAGGCACGCGTAAGCTGACCTAAACACCCTCGATTATAAAAAAAAAAAAAATCATAGAGGTTAAATTGATCGAATTGATTGACTAGAAAGTGTCATCTCTTATTTATTTTATGGCATTGCGAAAAACAAAGGGTGTAAACCACCCATTGTGGCATGATGGACTAGAGGATAGATTGAAGAGTTAAAAGACAAAAGTCGTGGGTTCAAATTGTAATAAGGGCAAGGATTGGCCATCAATTATATACCCAAAAAAAAAACAAATTTACTTTTGTTTTATGATCTCATTTTTAGTACCTGGGAGTCTTAGACAAGAGTAGCTTTGTTACCACGCCGTAGACAGTCTCTCAACATACAATGACTAAAATACCCTCTACTCATCGACTTTTTCCGCAAAATTCTTGTTCAGAATTGTATTTTCACTTGTTCCCTTGACACTATTTTATAAACCCGAAAACCAGTCGTGACTCTTGACCTCGCACTTTCCCTCTCCAATTTTAAACCATCTCTCTTTGTGACTCTCTGAACCAAAAGCAAAAGCAAAAACAAAAACAAGAAAACTAAGAAAATAAAAACATAAAATTACAAGGACAAAGAAAACAAACAAGATCACAAGATGATGAGATTATTCGGAAGAGGAAGAGACTCCGACAACTCACCGCAATCTAATTCTTTGCCGTCACCGTCACAGTCTCCGTCTATTTCGTCTCCAGTTACCGGTCCAGCGAGGCCGATCCGGCTTGTGTACTGCGATGAGAAAGGAAAGTTCCGGATGGATCCTGAGGCAGTCGCGGCGCTCCAGCTTGTCAAGGAGCCAATCGGTGTAGTATCTGTCTGCGGTCGCGCTCGACAGGGAAAGAGCTTTATCTTGAATCAGGTGAACTTGTTTTGCTTAAGGTTAATTTAGTGAAATTGTGCCATTTTTGGTTTTTTTGGTGGTTTTATGTGTGAAGTTGTGGAGTCTAGGGTTTGCGGTTTGCGAGATTAGGAGTGTTGTAATTAGGGTTTTGAAGTGATTTTGATGCTTTAGGAAGCTTAAAATGTGGCGATTTTGGCTACATTTTTTGGATGGCCTTGAGTTTGCTATTATAATAACGTGGTGATTTTTTGTTTACTTAGGTTAACTTGAAGTGAACCTGTGCTTTTTCAGTGTATTTGTATGTTAAGTGGTGAATGGTGAAATAAACGGTTCCTGTTTTTGGAAATGTGGTGATTTTAGCTATAATTTCGCCAAGGTAGAAGCTTTATACTACTATTAGGTGTTTCTTATGTTGCTTTTGGTTAGTTAGAAGTGAACTGGTGGGATAGTGTTTGCTATATGTCTTTGGTCTGTGAGGTCAGCAACTCCGGTGGCTAGCTTTGTGATTTGCTAGTTGTGGTGACGCAAACAAAGATGAATTGAGGCTCAAGGCTTAAACTTCTTATGGAAATGCAAGTATTTCAAAGATTATGGTGAGGTTGGTTCTATCAAAACGGAGTTGTCTAAATTAATTTTGAGAACAGTAATATGTAAACTTAGTAAAGAGCAACTTTTGTTGCCTGGTGTGCAACATGATAACAGTAGTTTTAGTTGGGTTTCATATTGGTGTTATGGATCACTTTCTAAAACCGAACTAAAATGTTTTGGGTTTTTTATGGAGTGCTTGGGCACTGGATATTCAAACTTTCTATATATTCAAAATCACACAATCAAAACTGAGAAATTGTGTGGAAATATTGTTTCTAATGGAAAAATTCCTAGGCAGGTGTTATATGTTCACTTACTTGAATGAAGATAGCTCTATCCTTCATCCTCACAAGAACACTTTTTAAAGAAATCCTTTGCTATAGGTNTTTGAGAACAGTAATATGTAAACTTAGTAAAGAGCAACTTTTGTTGCCTGGTGTGCAACATGATAACAGTAGTTTTAGTTGGGTTTCATATTGGTGTTATGGATCACTTTCTAAAACCGAACTAAAATGTTTTGGGTTTTTTATGGAGTGCTTGGGCACTGGATGTTCAAACTTTCTATATATTCAAAATCACACAATCAAAACTGAGAAATTATGTGGAAATATTGTTTCTAATGGAAAAATTCCTAGGCAGGTGTTATATGTTCACTTACTTGAATGAAGATAGCTCTATCCTTCATCCTCACAAGAACACTTTTTAAAGAAATCCTTTGCTATAGGTCTTTGGCCCTTTTTATTTTCTTGTGTAAATGTTCGAAGGTGTGAATTTAAAACACATTGCTCAAAGGTAATGCTATCTTATACCCTTGATTATTAGAGGTTTTTCCAAGTTTGTTCTCTTAATTTGCCTTCTCATGTGCTCAGTGTAGGCTTGTCAGTTGGAAAACATCCCACATAAACGTGATGTCATTGTCCTTTAGTATCTAATATAATTTAGTAGGAAAGCCGTATGGAGCTCCAATTTATACCTACATTTGTATCTGAATATTAGATGTTGCTCCTGTGTATTATCATTCCAGATTCATGTTTGCTTCTTTTAACCGTATTATGGCACCATAAAATGATCTTCTTTCATGGATAGATTTTTATATTAGAGTTCACTGTGTTGCAGCTTCTTGGGAGGAGTAGTGGATTTCAAGTAGCATCAACGCACCGCCCATGTACGAAAGGCCTATGGTTGTGGAGTGCACCTTTGAAGAGAACTGCTCTTGATGGAACTGAGTACAATCTTTTACTATTAGATAGTGAAGGAATTGATGCTTATGATCAAACGGTTCGATTTCACTCTTTTATGATGATAAATTAGCCAACCTTTAAAAAAAAAAAAAAAAAATTATTTGGTTGAGAATGATAGTAATTTTTAAGATTTGCACTTCAATGCTTGTAATATATAGTTGGAGGCTGCATGATTTGGTCTTGCGCCATTTTTATAGCTTCTCCTTGGAATTATGTATTACTATGAGTATTATATGATTGTTCCGAATGTCATTTTTTTTTTTTTTTTTTTTTTTTAATTTCTAATCATCTTAAAATTTGTTTTTACTCATTGACAGGGGACATACAGCACTCAGATATTCTCCTTAGCTGTCCTTTTATCTAGCATGTTCATTTACAACCAGGTTGGAACAACATATGCTAATTGTTTTACTCTTCTAAATAGATTCATTTTGTTATGTGATTCAGTGCACTTGTTAACTAAACTGCTACTGTGACACTAATGATTCTCTGTTTTTCCTCTTTTGTGGGTTTTTTTTCCCCGGATTTGTGCAACAATAGCCTATTAACCGTCTTTCTTATATATAGATGGGTGGAATTGATGAAGCTGCCCTTGATCGTCTTTCTCTTGTCACTCAAATGACAAAACATATACGTGTAAGAGCCTCTGGAGGAAGGACTTCTGCTTCTGAACTTGGGCAGTTCTCTCCAATTTTTGTTTGGCTTCTAAGGGTAATTCTCTTTAAATATATTCAGTTATGTGTTGATGTATATTTTCTTAAATATTTTGAAGATATGAGCTTGTGATTTCAGATTTGCTACTTGTTTGGAAATGCTATTCAACTTTGTACTTTTCAGGACTTCTATTTGGATTTGGTGGAGGACAATAGGAAAATAACCCCCCGTGACTACTTAGAGATTGCTTTACGGCCAGTTCAAGGGAGTGGAAAAGATATAGCTGCAAAAAATGAGGTAAGATATGTACTAGGTTTGCTTCTACAACGACAAAGAAATAATGACATTTTACTGTTCTGTGATCATTTTAAGCTTTGTGTTTTAGTGGGCACTCTACTAATAACTAAATAGAAAAGGCAATTTTGCATATGAACTAACTGCCATAATTTTCTTGGAAAAGTAAGCTACTTGGATATGTTTCAGGCACATTTTTACATGTGTGAAATTGTAGAATCTCCTTAATTTCCATGGATTGTCCAACATACTAAGTACACCATGTCAATGCTAACCCTTTATCTTTTTGTCATTTTCTGTACTTGAGTGTGTGGATGAAGAGTAGTATACACTTGTTTTTTTAAGATGGAATATTCTTTTAATGTTGTACTTCAAGTGATGGCTGTGCTGGTGTGTCCGAGTTTTATTGAGCTTGATTTAATGATCTTAATAGGCTTCCTTTTTGTTTTAGATATACACTTCTTGGATTCTTTGATGGGAATTATGGGGCATGTTGAGCACTGAAGTTTACTTTCTTTTTCTTTTTTTCTGCTTTTGTTGATACTAATTGTATAACTATAATGATTGATAGATCCGAGATTCAATTCGAGCTCTATTTCCAGATAGAGAATGTTACACCCTTGTGAGGCCATTGAACAATGAAAATGACCTCCAGCGACTTGATCAAATATCGGTTAGCACCTCACTGTTGTTCCTTTCCTATTTCTTTATTCCTTCCTCTTTCTAGTAATCATAACTTTTTATTTTCTAGACTGAAAGCCTTAGGTTTTGTATGCAGTTGGACAAACTAAGACCTGAATTTAAAGCTGGGCTTGATGCTTTGACAAAGTTTGTTTTTGAGAGAACAAGGCCCAAGCAAATGGGGGCTACAGTAATGACAGGTCCAATTCTTGTGGGTATCACTGAATCTTACCTAGATGCTCTGAACAATGGTGCAGTGCCAACAATATCCTCCTCATGGCAGGTTAGAGTTATTTCTTAAATTCTCTTGTACTCGAAATGTACATTCGCTTTTAAGTGTGTTGGTGGATTTGATTGGGGACAAATTTTGGGCATCCCATGTTGCCTAATTCTTTTTTCTTTTAGTAAATACCAAAGTTTACTTTTCTCAAATCAGAAATTTTTAGAAGAATCATGGTTTTATCTTTTATTTTTTTCTCTTTTCTTTTGTTCTTATCTCTTCATTAATTTATGCAGAGTGTTGAAGAAGCTGAGTGTCGAAAAGCATATGATTCTGCTACAGAGTTTTATATGTCTACATTTGACCGTTCAAAGCCACCTGAAGAAGTAAGTAATGCTCCATCCTAATTATTGATGATCTTTATCATTTTCTAATTTCAGTGCTCTTAGGTTGCTTTAAGGGAAGCACATGAAGAAGCTGTGCAAAAATCACTGGCACTATTTAATGCTGGTGCTGTAGGGGTTGGTTCAGCTAAAAAGAAATATGAGGGCCTTCTCCATAAATTTTTCCGGAAGGCATTTGAGGTAACAATTATGTGCAATGCTATTACGAAGTATAATGCTTAATGAATCATGATTGAACTAACGATGAATACCTAGATGTTACTTTGTCAAAAGGATTTGTGTGGCCACTGACCTGTATAAATTCCCAAAAATTTGGGAAATATAAATGTAACTTTGTTTTGTTTTATCTCTTTTTAAATTTAAAGGGATGTAATTCTAAAAATTCTTGTACTGATCCTCTTAGAGAATTTACTGTTTAAACTCTCTATTAGGATCATTGAACCATGAAGTATTACCGGTCACAGATTTATCAAATCACGCAATATAATTTTATTTGATGCACCTAGAAAAAGTAATTGATGATCTATGAAGATTTTGATGTTTAACCTTTTATTTTCAGATTCAGTTTACTGAATTATTGTAATTTGTTTATGCGTCAATAAGGTACATTTTTTTAATAAGTAGTGATACATGTTTGCATTGGCCATTGGTGCAGGATTACAAAAGGAATATATTAATGGAGGCAGATATCCGTTGTTCAAATGCTGTACAGAGCATGGAACGGAGGCTGAGAGCAGCTTGCCATTCTTCTGATGCCAATATAGATAATGTTGTGAAAGTAAGTACTAATTGCTCAGTTATTCTCTCTATAAAAGCACTGCTGTTGAAAACAATTTTAAACTTCATTTTCTTCAAGATATATGATGTGTCTCAGTGACATTATACCTCCAAAGATACTAAGGTTTTGAATTTTTGGAATTCTATTGTCTTGTTAATCATTGTGCATAGCATATAACATGCCTCTGTTTTTGTGCATGTTGGTGAGTATGCAGGGGCTCATATCTAGTTTATTTATATGTATATTTGGTTGAGAATGATAGTAATTTTTAAGATTTGCACTTCAATGCTTGTAATATATAGTTGGAGGCTGCATGATTTGGTCTTGCGCCATTTTTATAGCTTCTCCTTGGAATTATGTATTACTATGAGTATTATATGATTGTTCCGAATGTCATTTTTTTTTTTTTTTTTTTTTTTTAATTTCTAATCATCTTAAAATTTGTTTTTACTCATTGACAGGGGACATACAGCACTCAGATATTCTCCTTAGCTGTCCTTTTATCTAGCATGTTCATTTACAACCAGGTTGGAACAACATATGCTAATTGTTTTACTCTTCTAAATAGATTCATTTTGTTATGTGATTCAGTGCACTTGTTAACTAAACTGCTACTGTGACACTAATGATTCTCTGTTTTTCCTCTTTTGTGGGTTTTTTTTCCCCGGATTTGTGCAACAATAGCCTATTAACCGTCTTTCTTATATATAGATGGGTGGAATTGATGAAGCTGCCCTTGATCGTCTTTCTCTTGTCACTCAAATGACAAAACATATACGTGTAAGAGCCTCTGGAGGAAGGACTTCTGCTTCTGAACTTGGGCAGTTCTCTCCAATTTTTGTTTGGCTTCTAAGGGTAATTCTCTTTAAATATATTCAGTTATGTGTTGATGTATATTTTCTTAAATATTTTGAAGATATGAGCTTGTGATTTCAGATTTGCTACTTGTTTGGAAATGCTATTCAACTTTGTACTTTTCAGGACTTCTATTTGGATTTGGTGGAGGACAATAGGAAAATAACCCCCCGTGACTACTTAGAGATTGCTTTACGGCCAGTTCAAGGGAGTGGAAAAGATATAGCTGCAAAAAATGAGGTAAGATATGTACTAGGTTTGCTTCTACAACGACAAAGAAATAATGACATTTTACTGTTCTGTGATCATTTTAAGCTTTGTGTTTTAGTGGGCACTCTACTAATAACTAAATAGAAAAGGCAATTTTGCATATGAACTAACTGCCATAATTTTCTTGGAAAAGTAAGCTACTTGGATATGTTTCAGGCACATTTTTACATGTGTGAAATTGTAGAATCTCCTTAATTTCCATGGATTGTCCAACATACTAAGTACACCATGTCAATGCTAACCCTTTATCTTTTTGTCATTTTCTGTACTTGAGTGTGTGGATGAAGAGTAGTATACACTTGTTTTTTTAAGATGGAATATTCTTTTAATGTTGTACTTCAAGTGATGGCTGTGCTGGTGTGTCCGAGTTTTATTGAGCTTGATTTAATGATCTTAATAGGCTTCCTTTTTGTTTTAGATATACACTTCTTGGATTCTTTGATGGGAATTATGGGGCATGTTGAGCACTGAAGTTTACTTTCTTTTTCTTTTTTTCTGCTTTTGTTGATACTAATTGTATAACTATAATGATTGATAGATCCGAGATTCAATTCGAGCTCTATTTCCAGATAGAGAATGTTACACCCTTGTGAGGCCATTGAACAATGAAAATGACCTCCAGCGACTTGATCAAATATCGGTTAGCACCTCACTGTTGTTCCTTTCCTATTTCCTTATTCCTTCCTCTATCTAGTAATCATATCTTTTTATTTTCTAGACTGAAAGCCTTAGGTTTTGTATGCAGTTGGACAAACTAAGACCTGAATTTAAAGCTGGGCTTGATGCTTTGACAAAGTTTGTTTTTGAGAGAACAAGGCCCAAGCAAATGGGGGCTACAGTAATGACAGGTCCAATTCTTGTGGGTATCACTGAATCTTACCTAGATGCTCTGAACAATGGTGCAGTGCCAACAATATCCTCCTCATGGCAGGTTAGAGTTATTTCTTAAATTCTCCTGTACTCATAATGTAGATTCGCTTTTAAGTGTGTTGGTGGATTTGATTGGGGACAAATTTTGGGCATCCTATGTTGCCTAATTTTTTTTCTTTTAGTAAATACCAAAGTTTACTTTTCTCAAATCAGAAATTTTTAGAAGAATCATGGTTTTATCTTTTATTTTTTTCTCTTTTCTTTTGTTCTTATCTCTTCATTAATTTATGCAGAGTGTTGAAGAAGCTGAGTGTCGAAAAGCATATGATTCTGCTACAGAGTTTTATATGTCTACATTTGACCGTTCAAAGCCACCTGAAGAAGTAAGTAATGCTCCATCCTAATTATTGATGATCTTTATCATTTTCTAATTTCAGTGCTCTTAGGTTGCTTTAAGGGAAGCACATGAAGAAGCTGTGCAAAAATCACTGGCACTATTTAATGCTGGTGCTGTAGGGGTTGGTTCAGCTAAAAAGAAATATGAGGGCCTTCTCCATAAATTTTTCCGGAAGGCATTTGAGGTAACAATTATGTGCAATGCTATTACGAAGTATAATGCTTAATGAATCATGATTGAACTAACGATGAATACCTAGATGTTACTTTGTCAAAAGGATTTGTGTGGCCACTGACCTGTATAAATTCCCAAAAATTTGGGAAATATAAATGTAACTTTGTTTTGTTTTATCTCTTTTTAAATTTAAAGGGATGTAATTCTAAAAATTCTTGTACTGATCCTCTTAGAGAATTTACTGTTTAAACTCTCTATTAGGATCATTGAACCATGAAGTATTACCGGTCACAGATTTATCAAATCACGCAATATAATTTTATTTGATGCACCTAGAAAAAGTAATTGATGATCTATGAAGATTTTGATGTTTAACCTTTTATTTTCAGATTCAGTTTACTGAATTATTGTAATTTGTTTATGCGTCAATAAGGTACATTTTTTTAATAAGTAGTGATACATGTTTGCATTGGCCATTGGTGCAGGATTACAAAAGGAATATATTAATGGAGGCAGATATCCGTTGTTCAAATGCTGTACAGAGCATGGAACGGAGGCTGAGAGCAGCTTGCCATTCTTCTGATGCCAATATAGATAATGTTGTGAAAGTAAGTACTAATTGCTCAGTTATTCTCTCTATAAAAGCACTGCTGTTGAAAACAATTTTAAACTTCATTTTCTTCAAGATATATGATGTGTCTCAGTGACATTATACCTCCAAAGATACTAAGGTTTTGAATTTTTGGAATTCTATTGTCTTGTTAATCATTGTGCATAGCATATAACATGCCTCTGTTTTTGTGCATGTTGGTGAGTATGCAGGGGCTCATATCTAGTTTATTTATATGTACATATTTGTCAATAAATTCTTTATATGTACATATTTGTCAATAAATTCTTTGTTTCCTATTTAAAGAGAGAGAGAGAGAGAGAACGCAGAGACCAATTTGAATTGATGTCTATCCATTTGCAGTAATCTTATAAGTGTCCACATTATTACATTATGTGCTTTCCTTTATTTATTTTATATTTTGTTTTTTAAAGGAAACCTTCTGTGCTTTCTTAATGGTCCTTAATCTGGGGTGTTAAGCTTTAGTTAATGTTGACTTTATCATACTGAGTAGTAGTAGTTCATATGGCACATTCCACTACAGTAATTCCCATACATGGTTTATGGTGTTAAAATGTTTATTAGAAATGTCACTTGATTTCGTTGAGAATACATCATGCAGGTTCTTGATGTTCTTTTATCTGAATATGAAGCTTCGTGCCATGGCCCAGGAAAATGGCAAAAATTGGCCATGTTCTTACAACAAAGGTTTGTAACAACATTTTCTTCCTTGTTTCTTTTTCTTTTTCTTTTTCTTCATGTGGGGATTTCATTATTATTATTAACAATTTCTAAATTGTGTTGCTGCCCAGTTTGGAAGGTCCAATTCTTGACCTTGTCAAGAGGCTTATTGATCAGATTGGATCAGAGAAAAGTTCTCTCATGCTGAAATGCCGCTCAATTGAAGACAAGATGAAGTTGCTTAATAAGCAACTGGAAGATAGCGAGAAGTATAAGTCAGAATATCTGAAGCGTTATGATGATGCTATTAATGACAAGAAGAAGCTTGCTGATGAGTACACAGGCCGTATGAGTAATCTGCAAGGTGAAAACATGTCACTGAAAGAGAAGTGTTCTAGCTTGTCAAAGACATTGGATTCTCTTCGGCATGAAATCTCAGACTGGAAAAGAAAATATGATCAAGTCTTTTCGAAGCAGAGAGCTAAGGAAGATCAGGCCTCTTCAGAAATTGAAGTTCTCAAGTCCCGGAGCACTGCTGCCGAAGCAAGGCTGGCTGCTGCTCGGGAACAAGCTATGTCTTCTCAGGAAGAGGTTGAAGAGTGGAAAAGGAAATATGGTGTTGCAGTTAGAGAAGCAAAAACTGCTTTAGAGAAGGCAGCTAATGTGCAAGAACGCACAAACAAGGAAATGCAACATAGGGAAGATATCCTCAGGGAAGAATTCTCTAATAGTTTGGCTGAAAAGGTGCTCCTCTCTCTCTCTCTAACACACAGACAGACACCACTGACAAGAATGTGAAATCACATTGTTTATTTATTTTTTTTGTTTTTTAATTGATCACTGTAATACTCAACTATGCAGAAAAGAAAAAAATTGTCACCTTTTGTATTTATTAATATGCAGGAGGAGGAAGTGAAGGACAAAACCGCCAAGATTGAGTATGCTGAGCAGTGTTTGACAACTTTAAGATTAGAGTTGAAGGTGAGGTCATTGCATAACTACATTATTCAAACAAGCCAAATTTATAACTCCTGTCACACGCATGCATCTGCATCTCTGCACTCTTAGAGTCTTGATGATTGCACTTAGTACAGGAGCTATTGGAAGAGATGATCCTCCAGCTATATCATGCATTGTCAATATAGTGTCTGCCAATGATATGTAATACATTAAGGTTGTTCAGTGGCTCTTTTCTATGACATGCATGCGTGCATACACCCATGGACGTGTTCATGTATTTATCTGTCGGAATTTTTCGTATTTTGATATGTGATTTCTTGGTGGTGGTGTTTGACTGTGATAAGTCCTTTTCAGGCTGCCGAGTCAAAAATGAAGAGTTATGAAGTGGAAATATCATCATTGAAGCGTGATATCAAAGAGTTAAGTGAGAAGTTAGAAGCTGTAAATTCTAAGGCGCTATCATTTGAGAGGGAAGCGAGGATGATGGAACAGGAGAAGATGCATCTGGAGGAGAAGTATAAATCTGAGTTTGAAAGGTTTGAAGATGTCCAAGAAAGGTGTACATTTGCTGAAAAGGAAGCTAAGAAGGTTAATGAATTGGCTGAAAAGGAACGAGCTGAAGCAGCTGCTGCTCGAAAGGCCAAATATGACTTTGAGAAGTTGGCAATGGAAAGATTGGCTGTAATAGAGAGGGTTCAGAGGCAGGTTGAAAATTTGGAGAGGCAGAAAACTGACTTGACTAATGAAATAAATGGAATACGTGAATCAGAGTTGGAGGCCCTCTCCAAAGTGGCACTACTGGAGGCAAGAGTTGAAGAAAGAGAGAAGGAGATAGAGTTACTGTTGGACTCAAACAATGAGCAGAGGGCCAGTACAGTTAAAACGCTTGAAGATCTTTTGGAGTCTGAACGTAAAGCTCGTACTGCTTCTAATGCTATGGCAGAAAGACTGTCTCTTGAGGTACAGTCTGCGCAAGCTAAAATTGATGAACTTCAGCAAGAGTTGACTAAAGCACGTCTGAATGAAACAGCGTTGGATAATAAGCTCAGAGCTACTTCACATGGTAAACGTGTAAGAGCAGAAGACTGTGAAGTGGGAGTCGGATCTGTTCAAGATATGGAAACAGATGACAAAGTTGTTAGGGCAAATAAGAGGTCCAGGAGCACAACTAGCCCGCTCAAGTACACACAGCCAGAAGATGGTGGTTCAGTGTTCAAGGGTGATGAGGATAACCTGAGTCAGCAATCTAATCATGATGATTACACTAAGTTTACGGTGCAGAAACTAAAGCAAGAACTCACCAAACATAATTTTGGCGCTGAACTGCTTCAGTTGAGGAATCCCAATAAGAAAGAGATCCTTTCTTTGTATGAGAAATGTGTTCTTCAGAAGTCATAACAATCTTTTATGTATAGGATTGTTGAATATAATTTACTGGAAGCGTAGTGGATAGATGAGTTAATTAGCATAAGAGTTGTGAAAATCATTCTTAGTGTAACAATGTGTTTCCATGGTTGCCTCTCGACGTAAAAATAAACTTTTAGGGTGTGATGTGTGTCTTATCTAACGAGGGCGTGTGTATTTTGCGGTGTGACCGTTCTTGTTTGGGTGTAGCTATCATATCTGTTGTTCCTGTTAACATTGGGGGCAAGGATTTGAAGTATGATAAGTTTCTTTCTTTAGTTTTGTTAATTAGAACCCCCAGTCTCTGGAATGGGCAGGGTAACCGATGTCATTCTTAGAGACGGAATTAGTTTTACTCTGCAACTTATTATGTAAAGTTTGATTTGCCATTCGGGATTATTTTGTTTTTTAAGTTGTGAGATGAAATTATTACAGGTAGCTACATATAAAAATTTACTATCGTCAAGGTCTATTCTGACAGTTTAGCAATATGTTTCCAGCGTCAAAGGGAAGCAGAGGTAGTGTTGAAAGCATTATTATTCACTCTCTTCATGGCTTCTTCCTTTTGCTTGTGGGAAAGCTACCTCATTTAGGCTTACCTCTGAAATTAAAAACATTTTTGTTGGTTCTAATGAGTAATGATGTAACTTTGAGTTCTGTTTTTGCTTTTTTTCTTTTTAATGTCCTTTGAAATGATGATTCAATGAAAAATGATCTTCACTGTAAATACCTTTCTGTTGCATATAATAAATAGATGATGATGATGATCACGAGGATGAGTCCAGCTAGTTGATTGAAGCGGACGAGAAAAGTTGGGATTTTGATAAAATTAGAGGTTGAACAGAAATGATAATACCCAAAGGCTAAACCTTATTAACCAACACATCATATAACTTTTTTCATGCAAGAGTCGTTTCATTTATATGCATATGTTGTATCCTTTCTATGCAAGAGATGTACATGTTGAGATTTATAAATAACATATTGTAGCCTGAGACAACATACAGTCTCACTTGGGTAAGGATAAGTACAAATTGATAAATATAAACACTCTCACTTGGGTAACTTACGGCTAGCCAACGATCGAAGATATGTATTTGTTTTTTGTTGATGCGCGGTTTAGGCACCAACTAATTGACACGTGTGCAGTGTTGATTGAATCAGGGACACACATGAATATGGGTTATCAATATGGAATGAATGCGATGAGAGCTTTTAAAGTGGTTCGGATGCTAAGGTAGCAAATCCTACATCTACTGATTTGTATTAATATGGTGGGTCAGGTCGCTAAAGCGGACTGACTTACAAATGATTGAAAAGTAAATACACAGCTTTCTTTTAGAGAGAGATTAAAATGTCAAAATGATCGAATCCCCTTAATGAAGGGGTCTTCCTCTTCTTATACCAAGCTGAATGCGTGTAATCATCATTAAATCCTTGGGTTGGTGTGAATGTCAAAACATAATCAGGCTTTATGTCCCATTACCTATTTCCCAAGCTGATTTTAAGCGATTTGGAGCAGGTAAGCGGACACGTGGAAGCTCTAGGGTGCTTGGCAGGCCTGACATGTGCTTACCATTCTGACGTGAACAGGCCACGTTTCGTCACGTGACTCCACGTCAACCCTTTATTTCCCGGGCATAGCATTTTTATACACTCTTAAACATATTCCCAACTCCATGAATCATTGTCCCCATTCCTTAGATTTGGATGATGATGACAAAGTAAAAATAAAGAAAAAAGAGACAAGATATAAAGGGCTTGTTCGTTTATAATCTTTACGTTTTTTTTTTCATTTTTTGTGTTTAGTAAATCCTGAAAATCTTGCTTGTTTACCGTTTTGTCTATGTTTAAAAGGTTGGGTCGGAGAGAGCAAAATGGGCCCGCCATTTTTACAATTTTGATGAAAAAGTTAATTATCCTCTCTCTTCTTTTACACTTTTTATTTTCTTTATATAAACAAAACTTTCTATTTTAAATAAAGACATTTACCACAAAATTATAAAAGGGAATAAAAAAAATTATATATCTACGACAGCTTTTCGAGACGAACAAGTAAGTGGTACTTAATAGGTTTTATCAGTTATTTCGGTGTCAAATTTTGTATTTTTCATTCTTTTGTTTTTTGTATTTTCAGAAAACCATATATATATATATATATATATATATGGTCCAATTACACTGTACTTTCAAGAGCAAGATATTCAAACACACTATACCATGCCTAGATCACAAGATCAAAATGAAGTTGTTGAAAAAAGGAACCATACTCTCATGGACATAGTCAGAAGTATGATACGTAACTTTGATTTACCTTCAAACCTATGGAATGAAGCTCTTAAAATAGCTGTATACATTTTGAACAGGGTAACATCTAAAGTAGTTCCTAAGACTCCATTTGAGCTATGGAAATGATAAAAACCCCGTTTGAGACACACTCAAGTGTGGGGTTGTCCTACTGAAATAAGAATATATATTCCACATCTTCAAAAATTAGACTCAAGACAATTTGTTGGTACTTCATTAGTTATTATGAAAAATTAAAAGGTTATAAGTTCTGTTGTCCCTTAATTTCCCTTACAATTGTGGAATCAAATATTGCTAAATTTCTAGAAAATGACAATAACAATGGGGGTGTTCAACCTTGAAACATTGATCTTAAGGGTTCAGAGACAATTGAAATTATTACTACAACTGAAGGTGAAGGATTAATCCTTTTACTTCTGGCTCGTGGAAAACAAATTTACGATATAGTACCACATCAAAAGCAAGTTGTTGTCAAATCGGTTGTTCAAATTCAAGAAAATGAAAATATGGAGCAATGTTTTAGGAGATCTTCAAGAACTAAAAAGTTAGCAATCACTTCAAATTACCAAGTATATCTCCAAGAATCTGAAATAGATGTAGGTATTAATGACGATCCAACATCTTTTTCGAAAGCAATGAAATGTAGAGATTCTATTTCATAGTATAATGCCATGAATGATGAAATGGAATCTATGGCAAAAAAAAAAAAAAAGAAAGTTTGGTATCTTGTTGATCTACCTACAAATACTTCTATTGTGGGGTGTAAGTGGGTCTGCAAAACAAAATGGGAGTCACAAGGTAGAATCGATAGATACAAGGCTTGACTTATCGCGAAAAGTTACAATTAGAGAGCTGGAATCAAATGGATGTCAAAACTACATTTCTAAATGGCGATTTAGAAGATGAGGTATACATGGATCAACCTGAAGGACTCACTTCGGACAAAGGAGGTCATTTAGTTTGTAAGCTCAAGGGATCCATATATGACTTGAAGCAATCTTCAAGGCAATAGTATTTAAAGTTTGATAAAACTATTTTAGCCTTTAGCTTCATAGAAAATTGAGTTGATCAACGCATTTATATCAAGATAAAAGGAGGTAGTTTATTATACTTTTACTATATGTGAATGACATTCTCTTAGCTAGCAATGATCTTGTAATGCTACATGAAACAAAACAATTTTTAGCTCACAACTTTGATATGAAGGATATGGGTGAAGCTTTCTATGTCTTAAGCATAGAGATTTACAAAGACATTTCATTAAAGACCTTAGGATTGTCTCAAAGGGGCTATATTGAAAAGGTTTTAAAGTGTTTCAATATGAAACATTGTTCATCAAGTGTAGCACTCATTGTTAAAAGAGACAAGCTTAGTCTTGAACAATGTTCGAAGACTGATTTAGAGCATCAATCCATGAAAAATATTCCATATGCTTCTATAATATGAAGTCTAAAGTATGTCAAGTCTACGCAAGACCTGATATGTAGTGGAGTTATGGATAGGTTCTAAAAAATCCTAGTCCAACCACTGGATACAGTAAAAAAGGGACAAAAGATCACTACTTGCTATAAGCATGTTGATGACTGGAGTTATCAATATTCAATTCACGATTACAACATGACTTCTTCTTTAAGTATAAAACAGTGTTTTGTAATTACAGAAACACTAATTATAGCAAAGAATAAACGAAATATGAAAAACTAATAATATTCAAAACCCCAATAAACCTTTTTGAATTTTCTACATAATGACTTTATACACAATCCTAAATTTTTTTACAAAATGCCTTCATACACAATCTAAAAAGATCACGAACAATTCTTATTGTAAAAAACTCTTTATACAAAATCCCAAAATATCAGAAAATAGTTGTTATTGCATACCACAGATTGATGGTGCACTTGAACTAAAACCATGAGAGTGACCAAAAACCCACGTCTTGGCATGTGGAGCCCTGGTGGTCACAAGGCCAAACCCATCGCAACAATGGTCGTTGCCCTCTAACCCGTGCAGCTCTATGTACCAGCTAGAAATAAACCATGAAATAGAGAAAAGGCCAACAAAATGAAGGCTAAAGAACATAGAAAGGCATTTCGTGTTGTGTATCCCTAGGAACCAATCGTGTCGTCAGTTCCAGGCATTATGTTTTGTATATATATGTTAATGTATATATTTTGTATATACATTTTATCTTATCAATAGAAGAAAGTGTTCTTATTTCACATGTGGTTTATTGCTTCATTTATATATGTGTATTACGGTGAAATGTCCGATGATACAAATCTTTAGAATTCAAAATCCTCAAAGTATTCCCTACATAGGTAATATTAATTGGACAATAATATTATATGTAAGCATGCTGAATGCTTCCGTAAAATATCATGTGATGGTATTAGTGTGGGTGATTATAAAAGTTATATCACTGGCATCGCATGGATACGCGTTTAGTGAACTGTTTATCGAATATGACCATTTATGATGAATCACATGGACATTTAAAATGTAGTCAATGATTTTCATAAGATCGTACTAGTGTATTATTAATCATTAGACTTGAGAATCACGGTTGATTCTACATAACACTATGGTTCAATGGTTTATAAACATAAGGCTAATCATGCCATGTGTTATAAGCCGATTTGGCCATGTGTTGTTTATGTGTGAGGACAAGTGATAGTCAAGATGGGATTCGTTGACTTGGTATAGATTGATATCAAGTTCCTAGACAAATGTCAAGATACATTAGAAAAGGGAAATCTCCGGCCGAGGTTATAAATGTTACATGAAATGTTGTTCATGGTGACACGTTCCATATGTTTGATTAAAATTAAATAAGGATTTTGACATACCATGAATCCTCTTAATTGGAATTAGACAACGGAATGATTTGATTATACCGTGTATCATGTAAAATGTTTGTTGGAGTATATCTTCATTATGACTTAGGGGTTATGGAGCATTGTTAGATGCCTACCATAATCGTGGAAGTTTTTGTCATAAAGGTTATGACAAAACATATCGAAAGAGACTGTGATATTGGGCCCACGGCTAGGTCATAGTGAACCTAAGAGGTCACACATAAAAACTAAGGAGAATGGGAATAGCCAAAAGAGTTGATTATCCAAGTGGCTAGCACCTATCAAGGGATATATATATAGTTTTATATTATTCATTTTCTATATTAAATTGATTTTATAAGGGTTTGTAATTGTAAACAATTAAGGGTTAAGTTAAATTATTAATTATGTTAAATGTTAATCCAATGTTATAATTTAAAGAAGTTTAACAACTTCATAACAATTATGAAATTGTTTAAGGAAGTCCAAAACAATTATTGAATTGTTTACAAGAATTCCTATATAAAGAAAATGATATATCAAATTTTTGTGTAGAGAAAAAAAAAATCTCTAAGAACCTTAAATCTCTCTCTTGGCCAAATTTCTTCTTCCCTTGGTGTGGATACTCTTTTGCTTAATGTCTCTTGAAATTAAGAGTCTCCAAGCTTGCTAAGGGCTTAGGTAACATGTTCTGCCTTAATTATTTCAATTTAATTGATTTTTTTTTTTAAATTATGACTATACTTGTTATAGTATGATATGTTTGATTCTCCATGCATCCATCTTTCATTTTGTTCCGATATTTCAAATTTACAGTTGGTGGCCAAAACTACAATCGTAATAGAAATGATGGTACCTCTCATCACTAAGACATTTTTGTATGTGCCATTATGGTCATCATTAGGTTGAGTATTGTTTACCCCATTGACGGGAGTTTGGCTCCTTGCCAACGAGGAGACTGCAGAATTAACAGTTGGAGTTGGGTTCATAGGCGGACCATTTGGAATAACTTACTGATCATGAACCTGACCACCGCCACCAGGGTAAGTTTGTTTCTGAATTCGAGTCACATGCTCTTGACGAGACGTTGGGCCAAAGAGTTTTGTCAGTGGAATCACAAGAATAATAGTTGTAAAAATAAATTGAAAATATATTATATCGCATACACAAATTAATGTAAATTGCAAACAACACAATTTAATAAAAATAAGAATAGACATGCAATGCCAATAAAAATAAAATAATTGAAATAATTAATATGATGTTGATTAATCTATGATGCATTATCATTTGTTTAGTTATTGAACGTTTGAGATATCAATTAAATTATATTTATCAAACAAATGTAATGGCTGAATCGAATGGAGTCATTTTTTTTTAATGAGGTATCATTAGAAGCCTACCAAATCAAGATTTGCATCAAGAATACATACCTATGTTCTATTCCGAGCGAAACATATTTAAAAAATGAAGCCTCCTGCCATTTGACTTTAAAATGTCTGATTCAGAGTGAAACTTATTTAACAAACGAACCTTCCTACCATTTAATTTGATTTAAGAGGCACTATTAGATGCATATATATGAATTTGAGATTTGGGAAAGAGATCCCTACCTTTCTTGATCTTCCATTGTAGTGAGAATGAGTGAGAGAACCATAATGTGACTGCGTATGCAATTGACTTAAAATTCAGAATATTATTATAATTAAGTTTACTTAGATATAATAAACTATAATAGCACGATTTCTTCGTTAACGTCTAAGAAACATGTGTTTTGTAATTATGAAAAATACTATATTATAGCAAACAACAACTATTCAAAAACCCAAAAGCCTTTCTGAATTTTGTACCGATGTCTTTATACACAATCCCAAATTTTTTTATAGAATGTCTTCATACACAATCCAAAGAATATTAGAAAACAATTCTTTTTGTAAAAAAACGTTTTATACACAATCCCAAAAATATCATAAAACAATTCTTATTGCATACCACACAAAATTATTGGTGCACTTAGAACTAAAACCTCGAGAGTGACCAAAACAACCAACTCATTGGTCATGTGGAGCCCAATGGTGGTCACAAGGCCGAACCCCGTGGCAACAATGGTAGTTGTCCTCATAACCCGTGCAACTCTCATGTACCTTGGTAGAAATGAACCATAGAAATAAGAGAGGGGACTAACAAAAATGCAAGCTACAAGAAAATACAAAAGACATTCGGCTCCATTAACATTTCAAATTTACAGTCGGTGGCCAAAATTGTCGTACCGTAGTAGAAATGATGTGACCTCCCATCACTAAGACATTTTCTTACGTGTCTTCATAGTCATCATTAGGTGGAGTATTGTTTACCCCATTGATAGGAGTTTGGCTCCTTGCCAGAGAGGAGATTGCAGAATTAGCAGTATATTGTGTTGTTTTTTTTTATTTGTAATTGCAAATTAATTATTTTTATGGTAATAAAAATTCTCTTCTTTTTTTAGTTATGAATAAGTTTGTGATGAAAACAAAGTTTTCTAATGAGAAACCACCAATTGAACAAAACATAAGGCATCACGATAGTGTTCAGTATATATTTTATTGTAAATTCATCAACTTAGATCTTTGACCCCATTGACTAGAAATCTTGTTTACGCTTCTGTATACAGTATAGATCGACAATCTTACCTCAATATAGTGTGCAAATCTTTAAAAAAAAAAAAAAAAAAAAAAATTAAGTTTTCCACATCTAAATTAGTCTTTATGGTGTTAAATGTGAAAGAAATGGTGAATAATTGACTTAAGTGTTCAAGAGGTTAGAGAAAGCGGCATTTTGATATTAAAGTAAATTTGTTGGCAAATGCAGTTTAGAATTAGGAGACTAGGTTAATTTATTTTAGCCCCCAAGTTTTTGCTAGATCGATTAATATCCCTCTTTTTTGTTTAACAAATATTGGTGGTAAGATTGGTCGACAGCAGTCGAAATTTATGAATTTTCCACAGCATTTTAATTCTTATTCTTACGGTTTGCCAAACTCACAGTGTCTATAAAAAGTGAAAATTAATGATATATTAATCAAATTAAATAGACCGACAATATTTATTTTATTAAAACTCCAGCAAATTTTTCTTGCTTGAAACTGAAAAGAAAATAAAGAATTGTTAAAACCAAATGAATAATACTACACATACTGCAAGAAGTTTACACCATTGTAGAAAAAGAAGACTCTTCTATTGTGTCTTCAAACAAGTTTAAGGCTAATTTAAATGTTCTTGGTTGACTGTCCTTCGTTTCCCTTTTAAAGCATGAATACCGCCAATTATTGAAGAGAACTTCGTTAAGTTTTGCAATGCAATTATGGAAGCTATAGCTTCTCTTAACCCTAAAGCAATTATCTTAACGCTGTTCCTTTCACGATTTCGTAAATTTCATTTAAATTTCCAAAAGATGGAACAACTAAGATTCAAAAGTCATGAATATTATTAATAACTTTCATAAATAGTATGGCAAAGTTTCACTTTTTTAAAGCAGCAAATTAATTTGACCAATTATTAATTGCCTCGATACTTAAAGCTCAATCACATGATGACCAGAATTTCTCCACTCTTCACTGTGGTTTTTAAAAGCACACATAAGCCTCTCTGATGAATAGACAAGTTGAATTAATTTACCTGGAATTCTCTGTTCTGCTGCTCATCTAGACATCAGGAAAAGTATATAAGAAGGAAAAGAAACAGTAAAGAAAACTTGTGCGATAAGTCTCAAGGGCTGCTTCAAACAGTGTTTGACCAAACAAAATCCATACTTGCATAACAAGTTTTTGCCCAATTTAAAAAATGATTGTTTCAGTGCCATATTTTAATATAAGCATGCTATGAAGAAAAAGCATGCTTGAGATTTTTCATAACTTTGGCAATCACCATACGCGAAGACTTCAATAACTTGTAATATTACTAGCTCATAGCATGTGCAACTAAGCAAAAAATTATTGAAAGAACAACTTATAAACAAGAATATAAAAGTATAACCTATATACCTAAAAATGAGGAGAGCTGTTTGAGTATATGATGAATATTGTTATATGGTAAAATCATGAGGTATAAATTCTCGACACGTGTCTTGTGATTAAGCAAACTATCTCATGTATTCTCACCATGTGTCCCATGACTATGTATCTATCTAGGTCGCGTGTCACACATAGAAGGGGTTACTTCATTTATAAGGTTGGCATAAGTTGCTTCAACAGTAAGGTTCAGGACTGAACTGTCATCCAAGTCTCATGGTACCTTATGAGAGGATTACTTCACTATTAAGTCTCCAATAAGAGCATTTTGTCAGACCACGCGTCATATAATAAGAGGGTTGCTTCATGAGTAAGACCACCCATTCAACAGTATAAATAGGGGTCTCCTACCCTAAATCAGGGATTCAGAATTTCATTTTCTCGACTTTCTCTCGAGAGAGTAAATATCTTTTGTAAACACAACAACAAGATAACAGTGGAAGTAGGATTTGCATCTTGCATCCGAACTACTTTAAAAGCTGCTGCTTTTGTCTACTTCTTTTATTTATTTTCACATGTTATTGTTATTATCGCTCACAGGTTTAGTATCATAGTTCACGGTCTTGCACAAACCCCTTGCATAAACTCCCCCAAAAGGCTTGCTTACTTCTCGTTGGTGCAAAAAATAGCAACAACAAATATAACATCTCATTTATACATATATCAATCAATAAAATTATATCATATTAATGATTAAGATTAATAAAAGATAACACTGACTTAATATAAATTCATTGAATAATTATTTCTTGAATTTTTCCCATGAAATCCAAATACTGTATTATTCCTAGCTAATAAAAAATGGTAGCTTACACATATCTCTTTACAATCATAAGTTTCTCAAAGAACAACGTATGATCATAATACAATACGAAATACAATCTCTATAGGTCTTCCTAATTATCAATTACATAAAAACAAAATTAATATTCTTTGTACACCTCCGACATAAAATGGTGGGCACTTTTATCTGCAAATAGTGAATGCACCCTTCGCTAGCTTCAATTTCTGCTTAAAATCTGTTAGAAGAGTGTGATGGCCGAATCTTCCAAAGAGAGCATGCCTAGCTTTATATAATATACTATATAAAATTAACAAAAGTAGCCATTGATCAGTATTTGATACTGATCCTTCATCTCATTCTCACTGTTACCAAACAGAATAGCAACAACCAAACGACTCCTTGTCATTGCTACCTACCAAATTCTCTCTATTTCCTTTCAAGATTTCCTTTGCTTGTATCAGCGGCTAATCGAATAAATGAAGACCCATCACCTTGAACAACCAAGTTTGGAATTAGCTGAGGTGGGCTTTCTCTATTATGGCAGCTCCCTTGATGATCATATGAAATATAAGCTGGTGGGTTGTAATAATCAATGGGATTTGAACTCATAGGCAAAGGAATATGCCCACTTCGCTCTTTTACTTTTATCTCAACTGAATCTTTAATGCTTGAACCACATTGTCTAGGTTGAGTTTGGTAGAAAACTTTTGAAACCACCAACTCTCCATCTTTCTCTTCTTCATTGTTGCCAAGATGGTATTGGTGCATCACCCAGTTTGTCTTCTCGGGCTTTTTTTGCCTGCCATAGTTGGTGTAGAGAACTAAAATTTTTTTAAATCCTTTCACTGTTCCACCAACAAAAACTGCCCTAGTTTTGCCTGTTTTGTGCCACCTTGTCTCGCTCCCGTCTTCATCGGTATGTACTTTCCTTCGTTTTCTAGTTCCAGTGGTGTATGCCTTCGATGGTCGATGAAAGAAATGACGGAGTTGACCATCTTTGCTTACTCCTTTATCAATAAATTAACATAGAAAGTGAGCTGTATTTTCAGAGCCTTTAAGAAAAAGTACTATTTCCCAATAAAATATGAAACTGATGCAGATATAAATGGAGAAAGAGCTACAGTATAAATTAACATAGCTTTTGTTCTCTTTTAGCTCATATATGGACAAATATATGATCGCTCTCCATAAACGAAAAAAGCTTAATTATCGTCAACCTTTATTCAACAAGAAGTTCAGAATTTCTTTTAAAAATTATTTGTCTTTTCATAATCAACAGACTAATTAATTTTAGTTCTGCCTGCATGCAGTGCATGCGCATACACATTTTCTGTGAAAGAGCATATGGCTTCACTGAAAAATATGAAGAACGTGTGCAGAAGAAACTTTCTACTATCCACCACTAGGCGGTTTACTAACCACCACTAAGTGGCTGGATGGTGAAAGAGTAAAAGGGTCTAACACAAGTTCTTAAGTTCGAGTCCCTATACATCCTAATAAAGGTCGTCATTGAGGAAATTTATCCGGTCGTCAATTTCAGAGTTTTGTAAGATTAGTTAAAATACGTGTAAGCTAGTCCGAATACTTCCGATCAACAAAAGAGAAAGAAACTTTCTACTTATATCTTCTAACAGATTTCATATGACAACATTAATCAAATTTAATGCCAATAAAAATGCAATGATATTGCCTTTTAAAGTGTTAGTGTTTATTTTGACAATATATCCTGATCAAAACCAAGATAATAAGTCTTTAAGATTTTTCTTTGCTTGGGGATGTCTACGGCTAGAAAAACTTCCCTTTACTAACATGGCATGCCCTTTATTGGTTCTTTGTCTAGTTTCATTCTAGAGAAAATTTTGGATCGAAAGGACTAACACATTTGGTAAAGTGTAATAACAGTTCAAATAGCTTTTAATGCAGCTGGAACTCAAAATCAAGGCTCTTATAGGCCCTTGGTGACGCAAAATTCAATTGTATATTTGATTACGCTAAAGACATCAAGAAAAACTAATATAAAAATGATTAAAATGACCAATTTCTCGTCTATTAGTAGACCATTAATTATGAGAAATAAGACTCTTTGGCTTAAATTAATAACAAGTTAATTGGGAACCAGTAGAGAACACCCATGTGCCAGCTTTTAAATTTCTTCTCTATGTTAACCCAAGATCTATTTCTAACATATCCCTCATTGCTATAGACAAAGCTTAATGACGATGATTACAATATTTGTTTAAGCTAAAACCATAAATAGATCATACCCTAATGAAACCAATTAAACTGAAAATGAACAAAAATAATAAAAGACTTACCCGGTAGCCTCTCTGGATGAGTATAACAAATTCCATTCTCACCCTCTAGCGTTGGAATAAATTCATCGATTAGAGGATGAATTTTCCGCCAATCAGACAATACTTTGGCCTCTAAATGTTCCAGAATCTCATTATCAGTTGGATCAAACTTCACCCCTGCTGGTAGCCCCGGCAAATAATGAATTCCCGCCTATATTATAATAGTTCATTCATAAATTATATATATATATATATATATAGAGAGAGAGAGAGAGAGAGAGAGAGTAAAAAAAATAAAAAAAATTTAATTATAATTAATTAACAGAGAATTATGATACTAGCATATAAAGACCTGATCTTGATACTGTATGGTATGGCCACAAGAAGGGCAAGTTATGGTACGAATTTCATCGGATTGAGTGGCGATAAAACTGGTACTGTTTTCTTCAGGTGTAGTAGTAATCTGAATAGCCGATCTTTCTTCATCTTCAGACTCATTGCACCATGTCATGATCTCTCTTGATCTCTTCTTATGCCCATCAAAAGAAGCTATTTTTCCTCTTGTTTCTTCCACTTCGTCAAAATACAAAGAATCTAACAAGATTGAGGAATAATAAAAAATAATAATAACAAAGTAAAAAAGAAAACGAGTAAAGCTAAGCTAGCTTGCAAACTTGTCTCTTTAAAGCACGTTCTGGTAATTACCCACTTAATGTTCTTGATGTTCGGCAAAGAATTAAATTCCTTCAACACTTTCTCTTCATTCCCTTCTAGAAAATTTAGCTCCAAGTTCCAGTATCTGAAAGAAATAGAAAGAGAAAGAAATGGGATATGATAAAGAGATATAAATAAAGGGGGTAGAGAATAGATATTATACGAATAAAGATAGTTGCTTGGACGTCAAGTTTGGTTATTCTAATGTATATACGCTTGTTTAAGAGAATAATTGCACTTAGCCTTTATAGCTGTACTCGATCTGAAGACTTTGGGGTTTGGAATAAAAACTTGTTTAGGAAGGTGAACGATTAATAACAGAAAGATAATGTTAATAAAATAATAAAAATAGGGTCAGGTACAGGTAGAGTGGAGATGGGGCAAACCTGATTCTATTTTAGGACGTTTCACCTCTTCAGAAAGAGAAATAGTTTTGGCCCTTTAGCTCCAGTGTCAACCTAGAGTGTCCTTAAAGATATATAAAAATTAAAAATATTTCTACGTGTATAATATACGATCCATGGAACCAACAAATATGAAAATAACATGAGGGTTATTTACACCAAACTTGTACAGATTTTAATCCATTTCTTAACGTAGACTTCTTATATCAACCAACCATTGTTCACATCTTTTTTTAATTATATATTTCACAGCTTCGTGCGTGTTCTTGGTGTCTTGTGTCCATGTACAGACAGATTTATTTTCAAGAGATGGTTTTTCAATCAGCCGACAATAAAATTTCCTCTGTAATTGCCAGTACTGCTATAGACAGCTAGAATTCCCATTCTCGCTTAAATTGGACTTAATTAAATCATCCTTTTTCTTACGACCGGGCTGTTTTAAACTTCTCACTTGATGCAAATTTTGGTATTATCTAAAGAGTAAACCGCTTTTCCCACCCAAGGTTTGCCTTAATTACACTTTCCCACCAAAAAGTTTAAAAATACTTATTTACTACCCAAAGTTTATATTATGTTTACTACTCAAAATACACTTTCTGATTCTTTAGCGAATATAAGCAAACTTGGTCTAAGCTATTGGGGCTTTTGAAGAGGGGATACCGATAAGTCTTTTAGTAGTGGAATGTTAGATTTTAGTGGTAGGGATTGGTCAGAATTTGACTTGGAAGAGGCAGTTGCGCATTCCACAAATCACTCGATTACCGGGGATTGGCGGGTCAGCAAGAGCAAAGTTTGAGGGGTGTTGGTAAGTGATGATTAGGGAAGATAATGGTGGTGGTATGGGGTCGCAACAATGTCGGAATCGACTAACAATTGACAACGATTGGCGGAGTTGGTGGGTGCGCACTCGCCGACCAATTCCAACATTTTTGCGACTCCTCACCATCACCATTCTCTTTCCCGATCATTACTAACCAAAGCCCCTCAAACCTTGCTCCTGCTGACCCCGTTAATCGCCAGCAATCAAGTGACTTGTGGAATGCGCAGCCGCCCCTCCCAAGTCAAATTCCAACCAATCCCGATCACCAAAATCCAACTTGCCACCACCAAAAGACTCATCGGCCTCCTCTCTTCAAAAGCCCCAATAGTCTAGACCGAGTTCTCTTTTTGTTCGTCGTTGAATTGCAAATCCTAAGGGAAGTGTTTTGGGTAGTAACGAAATATAAACTTTAGGTAGTAAATTGATATTTTAAAACTTATTGGATAGGAAAGTGTCATTAAGGCAAACCTTGGGTGGGGAAAAGTCGTTTACTCCTATCTAAATATGAAAACTAGAGATCCATTGATAAACTAATTTTGATTTTGATTATTATAGAGTCGGCATAGAGTTGACAATATGAAAGAAAATATATTTTGAACTCATTCTTATTGTTTTTATAACAATAATAATATTAATATATAACTGGTGTGATAATATATTAATTGTTCTTTTAAACATATTAAAATGAAACTAATAAATATCATTTATGTGGAAAACCGATTGAAAGGTACTTGATTTCAACACCTCCTTTGGTTCAAGATTTTATTTGTTTATTTATTTTTTGTAGTAATGTTAGGATTATTGAAATCGAAATTGTTGCGGAAAAATCTTCTTGTATTTCAGAATGAGACAAAATATTTTCAGGAGTCCTTTTTCCTTGGCATGCAAGCATGTGATTTGGGTTTCAGTATAAACGACGAGCTACAAGTTGTTAAATATTTGACAAAAACATGTTTGTATTGTAGAAAATATTTGGATTTGAATAATATAAGAAGCCGACATTCTATGGATAGAATACATTTATCTTGAGCTTCTCAAAGAAGCTACGCAACAGAAAACTTATGCAAGAAGCTTTCATCATTATTGCTTTATTAACTTTGACGTATGGATTAGGGTTTTAGACTTTGTCAAGTTGTTTCCTCATATGGATAATAATAATAATAATAATAATTAATAGCCTTTCCTTTTTCCATCTCCGTATTCTTTTGGCTTTTACCACTCTTTTACAATGTTTGTTCATCTGATTTCCTTCTTTTTAATTTCTTCCAATTATCAAACTTTTCCCAATTAGGACTTTTTTAGTTTAAACTTAATTACTTCAAAATAATTAATCAATTTCCTCTTTTTATAAAAAAAAACATGTTTAGATGGATACTAGACCTAACCTCACAACAGCCATGTAAGGTCATTTCCAACTTTGAAGTAGCTGAACAAGTTTAAAGTCGACCTCACGACAGCCACAGGAAGCCATTTCTAACCAAGGCTAGAGCTAATTAACCTCATGTTATCTGTGGGTGGTCGGATCTAAGTTAGAATATTTTGGGGAAGACGAAGAAAAAAAGAAGAATGAGATGGCGGAGAAAGAAACGAAAGAAGAATGAAGGGAGAAAACACAAAAAAAAAAAAAAATTATTATTATTATAATAATTTAGATGGACAAGAATGCCCCTTTAAAATAATGGACATATCAACCCTGACTTTACATTACTCGATTTTAAAGGAAAAATCTAAGGGCATCATGGTCAAGGTTCAATTTCTCATATCAACCAGTTCTCTCTATAATTTCATGAAACAGACGAGGGTGGGTCTACTTAATTACGTCTAGATATTGTATCTATGACCTAATGGTCACCTATCACCATCAGAATAATCGACATTAAAGTAATTGATTTTGATGATCCATCATCGGCATGATTGGCATTAAGTATAATTGATTATGGCGATTTTATGTCTATCATATGTTTTCTTCGTTATTGTGCGAGGATGCGCGTTCAGCTCAGAGCAAGCGGTAGCTTGGAGCAAATTGTATCTCGGGGCAAACAATGGAGCGACAATCAAATTAGAGGGAATTGTTGTTGGGCAATTATCTTCCAAATCATAGATAAGTATTATCTTCTAAAATCAAGGAGAAGATTACGGGAACAGTCTCTATAGTTTTGACCAGTCAATCGTGCCAAGAATTGTGGGATTGATTTCCTAAAATCATGTTGTTATTCCTAGAATTACTCTTGTAACTATTACAGTTTCATAGTATAACAACCCCTGAAAAATCATTGTAAAGAGATTGGAAAAATCTTGAGAGGAGAGACCATTATTGTAAGGCATCAACACAATTTTTTTGTAACACCTTCATATAACAATTGACGTATGCTAGATTCTAATTTGCCAAAACACTTTGAAAATCGTCTTTGATTCTTCTTTCTCGGCATTTGAATCTATGTCTTGTTAATTATTATTAATCACGCACATATTTTACTCAATTCCTCTAAAGTCAATTGGGTATCACAAATTGTTGCCGATTTTTGTAACAATGTTTGCCATCATCCATGGGTAGACCAACTCTAATTTCATTGTTTAGTTTTGAGGAGATGCATGGTATTGTTGGATGTTCTCTAGCAATGCATTGGATGGTTTTTAATTATATTAGTAAGGAAAAAAAATCAATCGACTTTAGAAATAACCTAATTTTGGAAAGCTACTCTAAACCCCATTTCAAAATCCTTATAAAATTATCTATATCAACTTTAATAATTTTTATAAAAAAAAAAAAAAATTATCAATAAATTCTTTTTGGGTCGTAAGTTGGGAAATAAATGATCATTTTCTAAGATATGATAATCTCAAACAAACATTTAAACTTTCTTTTTAAGAATAAATTTTGAATATGATAACACAGAAAAGGGTTTTTTTTCATCACAATCCATAAGGACCATGGTTATAAAAAAAAGGTCCTACTTAGAATTTATAGTTGGTTTTGAAGTTTCAAAATTCTTAACGAGGAGTCGAGGTAATTATTCTAAAATTGTGGAGGAAAAGTACAAACATTTCACTGTATTTTCCAGTCCATCTAACTTTGTAGATCATTTGTTAGTTGTTACATTCTTATAAGTTATTTATAAGACTTTCAACGTGTAATTTAATCAAGAAAAGTTGATATATATGATTCAGTTTGGTTGAAATCAAGCTTTGAATGTAGGGAGATAAGGCAACAAAAGATAAAATTCATTGTTTTCTTTCTGGGTTATATCATATTTAATTACAAATAAAGTAAAAATAAGGTCAGATATCTCGCTCAACCATCAGATCAAAACCATTCGTTTCATACTTTACAGGAGTTCAGAGTCTCAGACGCGTACGCAGCAGATGAACAAGTCAAGAAGGGTCATAATCAAAGTCAACCACACGTAAATGTAGTGGAAGAAATTAAAACAACTTTTGAAGAAAGTTGAACGACCTTTTTCAAAAGAAATTATATGTTAATTGTTTGCATGAGCCAATATTAACTTATCTTTTGGTGCCTCGTCAGATTAGGGATTTATATGAATTCATTATGTTGGGCCGAACGACATCTTCTCACTCCAAGTTTGCCTAAAGACAATTTATTATACAAAAAGTTTCAAAACAATAATTACCCACTTTTTGTTAATATTTATCCGTTAAGTTGTACTGAAGAATGATAAACTAGTGAATTTAAAAACAGTCAAAGGATAATTATATCATTTTACCCTCTATTAAAAAAAAAAAAAAAAAAAAAAAACCCCTACTCCCATCTTCTTCTCATCACCATTGTTGGCGCCAACGCCGGCCGTTTGCTACTAGTTCTTATTGGATTCTATTGAAATTGATAGAAAAAGCCACCCTAATCCCAATCACACAGTTACCTAACCTTACCGACCGTTTTGTGGCCGGATTTTCACCTCCCCACAACCAACTACGTGAATACCTTTTCATGCCCATTGATGATTCCAACATCGTTACCACCCCCGCTGCCACCATTTGATTCCCTGAACCTCCCACATTTCCCTTTTTGCCCCAACCAGCTCCTTGCACACTGCCTCCCACTTCTGCTCAATTTTTTTGCGTGCACCCCACAGGCCAGCATGCCAGAATCGCACCTGGCCGAGTACAATTCCGATTGAATAAGACCTGGGATTTGGATTCAAAGAGGAAAGGGTATTTTCATTTTACAGTTACCGTACCATGTCAAATAACGGTGGATGGGAAAATGTCGTTTTGAAACTTTTCGGGTAATAAATTGTCTTTAAGGCAAACTTCGGGTAGGAAGATGTCGTTCGGCCCATTATGTTGTATAAAGCTAAACCTTTTGATATCATTAATGGGTAGTGGCTTTTCTGCCTCACATATATTATCATCAAATTAATCCCATTGTATATTTAATCTAGGACCCTATGTCGCTATCCTGCTTTTGGAAACAAATAATATCCTCCACAACTTAAATTCTTGAATCTTGAATGTCCACAAAATTAACCAAGTAGGTGAGACCGACCCTAATTAAGAAGCAGATTTGTTTTGATTCCCAATATTCAAAATGAAGTGCACTTAAAATAAACTTTCAACAATTAAAAAAAGAGGATTAAAGACAACCTGCCAACTACTAGAGTACGTCGGTATTTTTAATGCTTCAATCTCATTCCGACTGTTTAGGAAGGAAACTTGAAACTAATGAGTGTAATTATGTTGCTTTTCTTCATAGATCTACTCTGCAGTTCTTGATTAAGTTCATGAAAAATATCTTCAACAACTTAAAAGCTTCAGGAAAGAGAGGATGGTATTGAGGATAAAAAAATATCGTCATTCTTTTGAGTATATAATAGTTTATATTTGATTTAATATTTGATTAACCCAAGTTAATTAACATAATTAATTTTATAGAAAAACCGCTTTTAGAGTTAATATTTAATCAACCTAAGTTAATAGAATTTGCTAAAATCCGAAGATATCCTAGACAAGAGAACTTTGAAATACATGGTAAAAGAGCAATAATTAAGATGCGTGCAAACTAAGTTTGGACACCCGATGATTAAACAAAAAAAAAAAACAAAAAAAAAACCTTTGAAATACTTTTTCCTTTTCAAATTTTAATTAGCACCATATCAAATAACATATAGGGTGGTCTTTGAAAAAAAAAAGAGGGATGGTGGAGTTTAATTATAAAGTGAGAGATACAATTCTTTTATTTTACATAATCAAATTTTACAGTCTGACATTTAAACCTTCTTTTTATTCTAAACGTAATCAAAAGACAAATCTAATTTTGATTTGATGTCTTGGGCTAAAACATCTCCGTCCATCATTAGTAGACAGTGGCCTGATTTAATTGCCTGGCCCAATTCTGCATGTGTGTTTGACAAAGAGGCCTCAACGTCAAGGGACTTCCACCTGATAATTCATATAAGAGTAACCGATATGTCCCACCCGAGGTTTAACAAAAGTCCAAGTTAATACCCATGACTTCATTTATTCTAAATTCTCACCTTTAAACTAGCATTGTTTCCATTTTTTTAACAGTTAAAGGGTAAAACAGTCTTTTCCTATAATTTGAAATTAAAACTTCAAAATAATCTCAATTTTCTCTCCACCACCTCCCTTCCTCCACCTCTACCACCGCTGGCCAGAGATCCCAACCGAGATCGTTGGTCGCATCCTACTGCCACCACCACTACACCACTACCGTGGAACGACAAACACAGACACTCTGAAAATCAACCAATCAACCCCAGAAATCCCAAACAAACAAATCTGATTTGTCCAACACTAGATTTGTCCAAAATCACACACACTCCAAATGCAAACACTATCAACCTCCAATCATAATCAAAGCTCTCAATCTCCAATCAATTCTCCGAAACAATCTCCAAATTAACACAATTTCACCAAAAAACGCAATGAAGAACACGAACCTCTCGATTGGTGAATGGTGACTAACCGGTTGCTAGCGATAGGGGGGTTTTGTAGAGTGGGAGCCGCTGGTTGCATTGGTGGTGTCCAATTGAATTTTGGCCATCGGGATCCTACGAAAAAAAACAAAACCCTAAACCTAACAGCGCCAACGATCGGAAGGGTCAATGCATCGGGAAACAGAGGGGTTTTGGAGTATGGACTATAGGGAAGCTAATGGAGTGATAAGGGGGGTTCAACTCTGTTGGAAACAACCCAAATTGGGCAAAAATCCAGGGGGGTAGTCTCTTGAGTCACCGAAAAAGGCCAAAATAGTTAGAAAAACAATCAGATGGTGGTGGGTGGTGGTTTTGGTGACTTTCGAGTTTCGAGAGGGAGAGAAGAGTGGGGATGTTGCTGAGGGAGAGAGAGAAACGGCGGAAGAGTAGAAAGGGAAGAAGGGAGGGGTAGTTTGGTAATAGCATGTCATTTACTATAATTTTTAATTATCTGTTAGTTTAAGGTGATAATTTGGAATAAATTGAACTAAAGTATTAACTTGTCTTTTATTAAACCTCTGGTGGGAACATGTCGTATTCTCTTCTTATAATGATTAAACATCTATCCAAAAAATTAATATGATCAACAGTAAAATATAAGATCTTCTTTTGGATGGAGATCTTCTTTTAATCCACATACCTAAAATTGCATTAAAAATCATAAAACAAACCGACAAAGGAATATGGAGAAACTTAGTGAGAAAATATTAAAACATTATAAAGAATAGATTACACAAAAATCATTTTCAAAGGAATTTCATCCCTTAATGGACGTTGGCGAAAAGGAACATGAATCTAAGGACAAACAATAATTATAATGAAAAGATTTGCAGCCCCAAATTGAGGACACAGCACGAGCGTAGATCTGTCACCGTTCAATCAATAAGATCATGGGGTCCCTCTAAATTAATTAATGAGAATTATTATACATCAATAATTTACATTCACCAATTTATACAAAATGATTAAGCAATGACAAGCTAGAAAAAAAAAATAATAAATAATTAATCAAGCAATGTGGGGGCTCCTTTTCAATACCAAAAAGATCCCCACTTCTACACGGAAACAAAGATCAAATTCACCGACCAATTGACAACCACCGTCCTACCTATGGCCCTCTATATTCCTCCTCTGCATACAATTCAGCACCATCCATAAAGAAAATTTTCCTAGTCAAAAATGATGTACATACACTTCTATATCTCCGGTTTCTTCGGTTCAAAATTGGTAATACATAATTAATGAATCAAAGACTGGCCTGATTATTGTCCAAACTGTTCAAAATAGCTGCCACTTGAACGATTGAAGGCCTGCTCTTCCTAGAATTACCAACACAAGCTAAAGCAACTTTAGCCAATCTAACGAGAGGTTTAACATCAGAAGGAAATACAAGTCGAGGGTCCAAAAGTTCACTTAATCTCATTACCTTAATCAAAGGCAATGCCCATTTAACCAGCAACCCTTCTTCACTTCTTCTCCCACTCAAAAGCTCTAACAAAACCACACCAAATCCATAAACATCGCTCTCTTTGGCGGCTCCTCCCCCTCTCTCGCCCCAATACTCATTGTCTACATACCCGACAAGGCCTCTCTTCTCTTGGGGAGCCATAAAAGAGAGCCCATAATCAGAAATCCTTGAACAAAATTTAGAATCTAATAATATATTTGAAGACTTTACGCAACCATGTATTACATTTGGTGCCATCCCTTCGTGCAAATACTCAAGCCCTCTTGCTGCTCCTGCTGCAATCCTCAAACGTCGGCTCCAATCCAAAAGAGAAGCTCCATCGTTATTTTCATGCAAGTAAAATTCTAAACTCACCAAACCAACAAACTCCGTTACTATAATTCTCTCTCCGGGTGCCTGTGAAAACCCTAAAATCGGGACTATATTAGGGTGCCGTGCTTGAGAGATTGTTTTGATAATCGACGAGAAACCAAATCCGGCATTGCTTAGAACAAGCCGTGGATGTGTTCTCTTCACGGCAACTAGGTCTCCTGTCGATAACACAGCTGAATAAACGGTTCCAAGGCGACCGTGGCCGATGATTCTTCGATTGTTGAAGCCATCAGTGGCGGCATCGATATCTGTTAATGGATAAGCGGAGGCAGAAAGCCTGATGGGAAGTGATTCTTCGGACTCTACAGGTTTTTTTCTGCAAATGAAAAAGAGAACAATACCTAGAATGACGATGAAGATTGAAATAATACCCAATAAAAAATCATAAACAATATGCTCAAGAAGGTTCATGTTTGAGAGGTGATTAATTTGGGTAAAATTAATGACTTTCTGTAAAGAGAAGAATATATATGGAACAAGAGTTGTTAGTCTACAAAGTTGAAGAGTGTTCAAATGGGAAGATTTTGAAGACTTTTATGAGGATTGGAAAATTAAAGTAAGAGAATAAAGATTAGAGTATCTAATAAGGCTTTGAAAACTAAGACATATTTGGTGAGAAAGTTGAATTCTATACTTCAGTTTAGTTATGTTGCGATTCCTGGTTGGCTGCCTCCAGTTGTATTTTTTTACAAAATGGGGTTCGTAATTGTATAATGTGATGTGACAAGTTATATATTAGCTATAGAAATAAATCCCAAATGGAAAGATGCCGAATGGGAATCCATTTTAATCAAATATTATTTTGCTTTGTCATGCTTAGGTAGATGATCTTAAAACTTGGCACAGTTTGAAGTTGAACAAGATTTAATTAACTCATTGACGGAAGTTTTTTCACCAAATCTATCAGATTTTCAAATTAATATTTAAGTGAGTTTATCTAACAATATTACAAGGGATAAGGATAATTTTTATTAATCAAAAAATCTTCTAGAGGGTAACAAAATATGTACCATGTGTTGATGCTTGGTTTTGACATCAACTATTCGCATGTGAGAAATGCTAAATGGGCTTAAAAGTCACACGTGGTTATGAAAATATTTAGTTGAATAAAAGGTGAAGAACAATGTTTAAAGTGGTTCGGATGCTCACAAGGCGAATCATACGCCCACTGATATTGTATTAATGAGTAAAGTCAGGTCGCGTTCAGCGAGCTGAGTTACAGCTTAGAGAATACGAGAGAGAGAGAGAGAGAGAGAGAGAGAGAGAGAGAGAGAGAGAGAGAGTATGCTATTCTATAGTGAAATTAGTCAATCCCGCAAATGAGAGAAAATGCCTCTATTTATAGTGGGATGAATTAAGGTAATAATTACTAAATCTGCAAGTGGGGTGGGTATCGTGCAAATCCTTCCATGCGTCTCATTGCTCACCTGCCCGAGTGATTTTCTCGACTTATGCAGAGATTGGACACGTGGACGGTTTCCAGCCATTCGCCAACCTGGCGTTCACCCACTATACTGGCAAGAGTATGCCACTCACGTCATCAAGCGACGTGGCCGCATTTGAGCGGTCGTGGAACCTTCTTAAGTTCTGATCACCCCGTGCTGACAAGACTCTGCGTCAGCCCTACTTTTTTAGGCATAACAGAAGTCCCCTAGTTTTTAAGGTTTGAGAATCGAACCTTGAGAACTTCACAATTATGCCTTGATTTGATATGTTCCAAATGACGCCCGATCGATCCGACCTGGCTACAAAGAGATCTCAAGACATTTTTATATGGGCGACCTGAAGTGGTCTCCTTCCACAAGGTCTACGACCTAGACCAGACCTTTTCAGTGCCGTATTGATGCACCTTTTATCCTGACCAAGGCCCGCAACCTAGTTATACTTAGCGTATTTTAGCTGAAGGCAAGGAGTCACATCGTTTCGCAACTGACAGTCACATCGCTTCGCAACTAACATGCGACGAAGAGTGTTTTATCTAATAACCTCTTCAGATGTTATCCATTGCGCTTTGGCAGCTAATCCATTAATAAAATACCTTTTACTTTGACAAACGTGTCATATGTGCAATAAGTGTCAGCCACGCACATTCAATGTAAGTCATACTGAAACGATATTCCTTATCAAAGCATTAAATGCAGATGAGAGCGCATGTACTATGGAGGAGGGAAACGAGCCGTCGTTCGATTATTTCAACAGAGGGAAGTGACGATTTGATTTCTTGAAGCGTGACGGTTACTCATTTCCATTGATTGACGACACGTGGTCGCGATCAATAGCAAGAGATGATTTCCGTCCAAACGTCACTTGGCTTCGGGAAAACCAATCACCACTTGCTTCACTATAATCCCAGGCTCTCCTCAAGCAATGTCACAACACTCACCTTTTCAGAAAGAGCAAGAAGCTTCCGTGAGACTAGATTTTCCATCTTTCAGATTGGTGCGCACTTGAGGTTCACAGCAGGAAGTTCAATCTCCACACCCAAGAGGTAAGGATGATTATTTCATTACTTTCCTTTTTCTGTTTTGACGATAACCATGCGATAACGATGGCGTTTGCGGGTGGTTGATCGGAGAATAGGTTTTCCTTTAGGGTTTAAGTCTTTGGGGTGGTCCCCAAGGATTCTTAGGGTTTCTTTAGGGTTTAAGGAAGACAATGTTTATCTTTTCTTCCACGTCCTCATACAAAACTTTGTACGATGACTGAGTAATTCCTGCATGTCGCTCTTTTTCAAACCGCAAAAGAAATGGACCCTTCAGCGATCAGAACAGACGAGGGAACGAGCTCGCCGGTGCAGGACGCCCCAGCAGGTCCCTCACAGGAAATCCTATCAATAGCCACAGGAGAGGAAATTCAAAAAGCGATAGACCAATACGCAATTAGCATAGATGTCTACCAGCATAGGACGTATACAGCTCGGAGTCCGCTAGAGGGAATGGCTGTGATCTCCAAGAACATATTCAAATATGGAGCACTGATTCCCTTCCATCCTTTCATAAGATCGATCCTCGATCACCTCGGGGTCGCACTATTACAGCTGACGCCAAATGCGTATATGATAGTCGCGGCTATGTATATCACATGCGGGCGAGAACGGTCTCAACGAGCTGACTGCACTAAAGCTCAACTGTTCGTATTACCTAAAGAAGAGTAAAGACAATGACTCATTTTATCTGTCAAAGCGATCTACGATCGAGAGAGGAAAACACAATTACCCAAGTAACGTCGGGGCGTATGAGGCAAAATTTTTCTTTTTCCATTATGATGGCATTTGCCATTTTAGGGAGCCGAGTAAGTATTCCTTTCTTTTACTTGGCGAATTTTCTTTCTTTTAATCTTTGCTAACGAACTTTTCCCTTTCTTCACAATAAACAAGACGACCAAGTTGTCGGCTCTCGTTGACTTCAATAGAATAACCGTCTTCGTTCTTCTGCCCGAACAGAGTCGCGACACGAAGCTGCTCATGACAATCGCTAACCTACGGAAATATGGCTTTTTCAGCCCCGAAGCGACCTTGGAATCTTCATTGAGTAAGTGTCTGTAACCTTAGCCAACCTTATTGTTTGCATGCAGCGAACTGGTTTGCTAACAATATTCGCATGCAGCGACCATGCCACCCAAAGTGCCCAAGTCGCTAAGAGCCAGGGAGTTCACCTTTCCTCGGGTCGGTGCCACAGGGCCAACCAAGATGGCCCCTAACGGTCCCTTTGTCGGAGGAACGCCAGCGGGGGCGTCGGCTCGACCAGCGGATGCTCCCTAGCCTGCAGTTGCTCTTCCCAAGCAAAAGACTGTGGCCTAGAAATCCAACAAGAGGAAGCAACTTCAAGTCGAGGAGTTAGAGTCCGAGCCGGAGGGCTTGAGCATTCAATCCAGGAGGTCACAACCTTACCAGGCCTTCCACTCGGGAGGGCCCCCCAGGGGCGTGACCGGCATTACAATTGCCCCTGAGGGTCCGCACAGGAGGCAAAAGGAAGTCGCGACTCCTGGGAGGAGAGCGGGCAAGGAACCAGCGGGTGAGACGCTACCTACCACGGGCACAGGCACAGGCACAGGCACGCCCGTGCTGGACTCTATGGGGCAACTCTCAGAGCATTTACAGCCGGTGATGTTCACCCTACTGGAAGGTTAGCTTGCAGAGGCTTTCGAGCAGTTCGTGGCCTCTAACCCCGTGAACCTGATGACCATGGCGTTTCAGCTGCAAAGCCAGGTAAGAGGGTTCATCCTCGTCGAGGATTTCCCTTACTTTTTTAATGACAAAGAATTTAACCCCCTGTTCCCTTTACTATGCAGTCCCTGCTCACCATGCACTTGGCCCAGCAGAAGACTCAACTGGGAGCTATTGAGGGGCTCGTCGAGCTAAGAGAAGAGAACGTGCGGCTAAAACGGGACTTGGAGGCTACACAGGCGCAGATGAACCTATCCACCGTTCAGACGAACCAATATCTATCGGAGAAGAACGCTGCATTTCGCACGGGGGATTTCCAGAAGGCCGAGCTGGAGATGACGGGAGATGAGGTCAAAGAGCTCCAAAGGACAGTGGCCAGACTCACCAATAGGCATGGCAATGTTCCCCGAAATTTCAGGGACCTGTCCCGCTCCGCCCCATATGGGGCGGGGTAGCCCCGATTTTTTTGGGGATAGGGGCAGGGGTGGGGGGCATTTTAATCCCCGTCCTTGGGGATGGGGCGGGGGTGGGTGATGCCTTTCCCCCGCCCCACCTCGCCTCGTATAAAATTAAAAATTATATATATATATATATATCAACTAATTACACAATTATCCTACCTATATAAATCCATATTTTCCCAATTTCTCTCACCCTAAACAATTGAACAAGAACAAACCCTAAGCCATATTTATGTAAAATTAACTATGTTTAAACGATTAATTAAGTGTTTGTCATGTGGACGAGAATTAACTATTGTGTTTGGTAATGCTCAAATTAATTATGTTTATGTAAAATTAATAGGGCAGGGACAAGCCTTCAACATTCCCCTTTGGGGCGGGGAAGGGGAATTCCTGTCATCCCCGTAAAGGGGATGGGGTGGGGGTGGGGGTGGGGAGTGATTTTAAGGACGGGGATGGGTACAGTGAATGAGATCCCCACCCCGCCTCGCCCCATTGCCATGCCTACTCACCAAGGAAGCTAGCGAGAAAGAGCTGGAGCTACGAGCGAACTCCGAACGGGCCTTGCGAGCAGAACAGGGCACGACGCAACTATGGGAAACCTCTGAGAAGTAGAGGTAAGCACTTGAGGCAGAACTCCAGTTGTCCTAGGGACATGTCGCTTCGTTAACCAAAGAGATAAAGCGGCAAGAGCTAGAAATTGAGAGGAGAGCTGCCGACTGGTCAATCCAGTCCATTTACGCCCTATGACCAAAGAATCTGAACATAGACCTCACCGACCTCCCGGATGACAACCAGAGGATCCTCGCTTCCATGATGCAGGCCGATGACGAGGATGAAGGTCAAGGGCCTGATCTGGGGGATGAGTATCCGAAGGAGTATGTTCCAGAGGAACCGGCGGCCT